TTTCTCGCAATAATATTTTATCAAAAGATTTGTGGAATTTTATATACTAGCCACGAGCCAAGAATAGACCTGACAGATTTATAGACTTTGCCAAAATACTTTGAGATCTAGTTGAATAAAGTGCCGTGAACGGGTATGCCAAATTTTCAAATGGACTTAAAATGGTAATACAAAAAGGTTCTTTCGCTTTAAAAAAACATGATCAATTGTTATTCTTTTAGTTTCCGCTGTATTGTTCTGTTTGCATTATGAGCCCTAATTAATTTACTTTGTTAATTAAATTGTAACACATTAAAACTAAAGCAAATACTTCAAAAGCTTTATATTATACAATGGTTTGAATAACAGTCTATATTTATTATATAACAAATGTTTTTGTTAGATTTTGTTGTGGTTAAAGCGCTCTATACTCTATTATTAATGCTCCTAACTTCTAGTACATTGTAAGGGAAACAAAGCTGGGCGTTTAAAGGAATACAGTTTGAAAACTAATTTACATTCCAGATTTGTAACATCTGCAGCTAGTTTTGTTCTATCTTTTTCTATGTACTTTAATCAATTGCAAGAGGAGCGTTCAACTTTACCCTAGTTAATTTCGCACTTTTTTTCCTATACTAGAACACTATTTTTCCTATACTAGAACCTAGGTCTTGATACTAATAAACTTGAATTTTAGGCAATTAAAACCTTAGTGTAGAAAGAAACGTTTGTACAACATAAGATTGGATGCTATCAAATTAAAATTAAAGAATTTTTTTTGATTCATAGGACCGATATTATTTCTTTAAAATGCTTATTACTAAGTAACAGAAGCTTTTTAAGGTATTTCGGATTTATTAACTTTGGTGTTATATGCTGAAGGCTGATTGGTTTCATCCTTCAAAGTATTATGTAACCACAATTCGTCCTCTGCTCGAGCAGTCAGTTTTCTTTGTCCACAAACTGGCTTAAACCAACTAATATCTTGTATTTATTATTTATTATTTTTATGTTTCGCCTACTAGAGACGTGTGCAGTTTAAAATATTTCTAGGAACTATAATTCTTATCTGACGGTTTATATATTCACATAAACTTCCTTCGATTTCACCTTCAGTCATATTAAAAGTGAGTGAATCAACATACCCGGCTTAGCAACGGCCCCGACGTCAAAACTGTTTATATTACATTATATTTGGTGTACACTGTAATAATTTCATTGACTGAAATACTTCCAAACACTTAGCAGTTTGCGACTATGCAGCTAGCTATACACGTAAATTCCTATAAGTTGTGTAATGTTGTTCGAAATGCAACGTTACATAAACCTATAATTGAGTCGTATAGTAAAATATAAAACAAATATGAGTATATAAAATCAAATATAGAGTACAGTACACGTAATAGGTAGTACAATATCAGACTGAGCATGAAAATTAAATGAAAGCTAAAGGTGAGTAGACAGGTTGGGCGCCAGTCTTGGCCGGATTTAATATCGGAAATCGAAATATCTCTAAGCCGTACTAGCGGACGGTCGACCTCAGGCATTTCGTCGATAATTCCTATTTCTATAAGTCCGTAGGGTGAGTAGTCTTCTACGCTTCATCCTATTCATCACTCGTAGTGCTATTGAACGGTAAGTTAATTTATAAAACTGGTTTTATCCATCCAATCGTCGAAAGTGCTTTAACATTTTTTATTCATTTTAAATAGCTTTTATGTAAGGTTTATATGATAAATATTTTTTTATAATTATAATAAAAGAGGTTATCTAAAATATCTACCTAGTACCTAGACTAGTAACTTTCCTTGGCTCCGGTTATTATGTATAATTATTTTCCGGTCTCCCATGACCCATCTTTATGCTAAATATCACATAATTTCATCATAATTTTTTAAACCTCCTGATCCTAGTAGACGCAATACAAAATAAAATAATATTATTATCATTGATATTTTTAGGAAAAGAAAGATGACGTGAAATACGTAGAATTTAATTGAATGTGGTGGAAAAATACTCACCTTTTCTATCCATTATTATCTAGATAAAACCGGATTCTATTTTCCAATATATGGACAAGAGAAAATTCTTTACAAAGATTATATGTAATACGTCAGCGGCACTTGCTAATACAATTTAAGTAAATTTTTGAAGTGTTAGTTTGTAAATCGTTTTTATCGTTACATTTTAAAATTAAACACATTTTACGTTAAAGTTAAAATTGTGAGGTTAAAGGGCACATTTTATTTTTCCAAAATATTTTTTGGATTACACACAGATGCGTTTTAAAAAATATGACCCACATAGTAATTGTCATTATAAAAAATATATATTCTAGTTTATGTGTACCAAACTTTACGGTGTTTTAGTATATCATCATTTCATATAAAGTACTTCTTAGTTTCTTATAAATACCATCGGATAGAAATCTTGAACATTTGAATATTGGCGAGAAAAAATATATTTTGATATAACTTCACAGAGAGTATTTTCTAAATATCACATTTAAATGTAAAATGATACTCTTGAATATCACAGTTGTAAACTATTTGTATCGTGGGTTGTACATCGTCTTTGTTAGTTTTAAAATAAAAATTTATATTTACAAAACATTCTGCACATTGCAAAATATAGTTTACGAAATTATTTTACAAATACTTAACAAGTAAACCGCTCTTATTTATTAAGCAATATATTAAAACTACCTTAATATAATTAACGTAAATAAAGTTCTTAATTTTCTTGATAAATTTTGCACTAATTGAGTAAAGCTGAAACTAGTTGTTAAGTGCAAAGAGCTCGTTTGAATAAAACACACTCGAGAGTTTAAGAGGTTCAATGGTTAACTAATTAATGAACTTTACGGCACGAAACGAAATTTTTAACAAGAAAATACAACACACAACTAGAGAGGCTTTTAAAACAATTATCGTTACACGAATATTGTTGGGTCGTGATTTAGATCTAAGGGTGGGTCTCTGGAAATAGAAGTGTTACCTAAGAAGAGGCCATATATTATATCGCTTAATATGGGTTTGATTATTTTGTAATAACTGTTAATACAATGGTACAATTAATTTTGATAGCTGTATATGTTGGGGCTTGGTGTGTGTGAGGGAGATAGTAGAAGCGGCGCGCGCCGACTCGACTTATTGATCGCGCCCGGCGCCCGGGGTGACCCAAATAGAGCCTTTGCCACCCACCTCACACCCCAGGACGAATTTTCATATCAGCCGGTTTTCAACCAAGCAATGGCCCGCTCGCCCGGCTCTGATACTTATGCCTTACATAATACATTATTTAATATAATCACTTGTTTAATTCGATAAAATTGCTGTCTACGCTGTAAATATTTAAACACTCCGAATATGTATTGAATTCGAACAAACTTTATATATGACATTATGATGTTTAAATCAAATGATACCGGTTTTTGATTAATACTTGCAATTACATTTTTTAAATAATTTATTTATGAGCCACGTAAATATTGCGTTTTTACACGCATAAAAACCTTCATACTGACTAAAACTGAAACACGCCAAACACTTTGATCTTTATTGAATACTTAATTCTTTTAGTATAATAATACTTTAAAGTTTAATCGATTACGGCTAACAAATATCAAAGTTCAGGGGGTAAGTTATAACTGACCTATGGGAAACAGGTCTGCGGTGCATGCGTGGTTTATACATAGTAAGTATTCCAATAAGTGACATGCATAAATATCGATTTGTAGCTTTCCAACGAATATAGCAACACGAAAAAATAAAAATATATTACACGAATATAGATATTACTAGAAATACTGATGAAAATATATAATGCGATGATAATGTCCGTCACAATAGATCCACTGCGTGGACGAATGCTAGATATCCTTTTGTTTAACATTCCCTAGTCCCTGAGAGTCGTTCGAATGGAAATTCTCATAGAAGTATGCCTCTGTAGGAGTTAACTATACGTTTTACGTACGTTATACGTATATTCCGTGTTTCACAAAGAGAAACAACAACTTACATAATCGTAGTGTTCTAAAACTTCGACTTTAAAAATATCATGATAGCAACACCTCAGTTTAACCAAAACGTAGGTAGGAAAATAACCAATAACTAAAAATATACTACCATCAGGTTTATCTCCAATCTCTCCTCGAATCCCTGGCATCTATCAGCTGAATATATCGGAAAAATCCGAGGATTTCTACTTGTATAGTATCGCTCCTTTTATCAGATAATGGGGGGGGGGGGGTTGTCAAAACGGAAGGTCAAGTGCTCTGTAAATGTCTCAGGCCTATCTTATGCCGTGCCTAAATCATGTCCTAAAATACAAGGTTAAATATTGATGAGGGAAAATTATTTTAACAGTATCTTTTTTACTTAAATAAAGTTGTTTAAGAAGACGAATGAGAAAACATATGTATCTAAAACATATCTTTGTAAGTGTATAGCACTCGCGTTATATTGATATTCGATTAGTTACTGAATATGTTTATTGATGTCAGGTACGAGGGAACGTCGTCATATGCCGGAAATTAATAACTCACAGGTGGCGCCCCCTCGCTGTGAAATTGAACTACATTTGTAACTGTAAATTCAAAGCTGTTGTATCTAATTAATATCACAACGACTTGAATTTTAAAACAGCTAATTTTGTAGAATTTTTGATTGCTTCGCGAAATTAGATTACATTTTAAGTAAGGGTAGATTATAATATTAATAATTTTGTCCGAAATAATGGAAATTTATTTTTACTTTTAAAATGAACTAAAAATGAGTAAAAGTGCATTTTTTTCATTAATTCAGTATATATTTACTTCAAAATCTTCCGATAGAAATATGTGGATTACAATATTGTAATCCACAATACGAAAATATTCAAGACCGCGACATATAGTATTAAAAATTATAAGAAACAGTCATCTTTTTGAAATATGTTCAACTGGAATTACATAATTCGTAATGTTTATTTGTACTAAGGGTGGCGAGTACAATAAATTTGTCTTAAAATCGTGGGTGATATTAATCTGATAAGGAATGCGTGACCCTAAGTTGGTTGTCAACGTGGCTGTTGTGGAAGGTTACGAGAGAGGGCGGGCGGGGCCGCTGGTAGGTGGTCGGTGGTAGGTTCTTGGATGAGGTGCGCGCGCAGCTAGTTGCGCGCGGCGGTGCCGGTGGCGGCGCTGGCGTCGTGACGCAGTGTGACGTCAGCGCGCCGTCGGCTCGATACGAGCCAGCCCAATCCTCAGTCGCCGCCCGAAACTGGCCGCCGAAAGACGCGCCCTACGCGCCTCCTCCACCCGTGCACTTCTCTCATACCGGGTTTTAGTTTCGCACCATAATGACATAGTCCCAGTGCCGTGCGACGAGACAACGTGAAAGCGCACATTTTAGTTTTTCTTTGACGAGGAAGCCGTAACGGTCTCCGTTGTTCCAGAACTAGCGACGATCCACTTCATTTGGTCGAGGATCGCGGTTGAGATCGGAGGCGGTCTGCTCTTTTTTATCCGCCTTTTGAATAAAGACTTGCGAAAATGGGCGAGGTGAGTGCAGTGCGCTTACAGTAGTGTTTTTGAGCATTTCATATAGCCAGCCTGCTTGCGGCGCAGTGCTTGATATAAGATGTGAGTGCATGTAGCTGATGGTGAGTGTGGAGCGGTTACTCGATCCATCATCATCAGTTTTGCTTGTCACGAGTTCTTTCAGGCGTTTTCAGCTCACGTTTTAACCGGATCATCATTTGCACGTCTCGATCACCTTTGTTCTGTTCCATTTCAAGTAATGTTTAAGTCTATAGGAGCATTAGAATAGGTTTCGTAGAAATAACTTCAATTACAACATCGCATTGTAGTACATAATACTTGGGCCTGTTATTTTTTTCTTTGTTTTTAGTACTATTTCTAGAAGTATATAATGTTCACATATTTCAATGTTGCAAACCATTAGTAGCGTAGCTGCATTCTAATACATATATTTGTCAAAGGAAATAGCCAAATAATATAAAGGGAATAATATGTTGGAGACAGCGGCTGGCGAGTTGCGTAACATCTCCGATCGATTTGTGGGCCGAGCACCGACGACGAACGATACTTCTTTGTGGTCTCATAGCATTTCACAAATAGATCAAATTTAATATATTATTTTATTCAAAAATCAAACTGAAACAAAGAAGCTCAATTTGGGAAAAATATTTTATTCTAATTAAAAAAAATTACTGACTGAGCATGCGCTGTAACTTGGTCGATTCTAGTTAATATTGTACCATAGATTTTCTCTGAATATCACTTTAGTTTCAAAATATTTTTTTATTTAAGAATCAGTCTTCTATGCAGTTAATATTCTTCTAGTTATTGGTTCGGTACTAACAGAGGACATCCAGAAGTTTCGATCCCCGTGAGTCATTGTCACAGCTCGTAAGGTGTCCTGTAGGAAATTGTTAAACAGGTTGTCGCTGGAGGCGGCCGCTTTCGGACACGAGAACTACATATAAGAGCGGAGGTTTATTAGAAAATTGGCTTGTCATTATGTCATTTAAATCGCATAGAGTACCGTCGCTCTATTCGAGTATTTCCTTTATCCTTTATGACGATAGCACGCACCGGGCAATTAGGCTAGACATGGTCCTTGAAGTTCAATGTTCACTAAATAATAGTAAAAATAATGATACACTATATTAAAAATGGGTAAAATTTTATTTAATAATTACAAATTGATGTGAAAACTGGATACCATAATACTAAGTATTGTTCTTTATGAACCACTATAGGTAATTTATGTTCAGGACGTAAGATTCTCAAATTACTTGGTACAATAGAAACATCGAAAGCAAACGTTATCTTAATTGATATGTCACGAGATGGCATTGTTTGCTGATTATTTACAGAAGTGCATGTATTAGATTTAACACGAAGACGCGAAGTAAAAAGTAATATCTCTTTCATATAATTATGGTCATAAAAATTCGTAATTAACATTTGACATCCTAATTATTTTTAATCCTCTAAAGTTTCAATTATATATTTGAGATTACTTGAATGACCTCCACGATAAAAAAATATTGTTTGCAAATAAAATGTACTCAAAATACATTGACCCTTTGTCATTTAAACAATTTTTAACACTGGTTATCTTTTTATTCTTATCTTTTTTTTTATGAGAGTAATTAAGCCAAATTAATTGAACGTTACTGTATATTAAAAATTACTTCATACATATGATGTAAATGTTTTTAAAACAATAAAGCAATATCTCAATTCAGTTCAATAACAGTCTTTACACGTGAACGAGAAACATATCGTAAAATTTTGTAATCATAACATAAACAGATTTTTCAATAAAAATTGTCAATAATTCAATATGACGCACGCATCCGACATCAACACAGACACGTGAATGTCTTGAGTCTTCTAATATTGTTTTGGCAGAGACGCGATATATCTGCATGCCCGAAATCGCGTCGCCGCGCCGGCGACTCGATAAAAATAATAGTCTCATTCACATGCTATTAAAATACTATGATAGTAACAACAAATTTTCGGTAGAAGCCGGTTTTATGACCATGGCCATGAATTATCGAATGATGACATTTGCTGGCTATTGATCTCATTTATCGCTATCTTACGATAGAGTATACAACGAAACTATGTGACCTATATTTCGTGATGTTACGTTTCTATATAAAAAAATCATATAGACTTGCAGAAGCTTCGATGTCGTCACACCCTTCTACCTAAAATAATGTGTTAAGAGAACAAAATAATTCACATCGGAACCGGATTCTATTCTTCATGATATATTCCGGTTGAACCTTTGCAGAGATTATAGAATGCGGTCGTCGCGAGCCCGGGGGTGGCAACCTTGTCTTTCAGCTATTTATGTCGAGGGTAGCGGGGGTTGGGCCGCACTGCGCAAGCGTTTTGCGTTCCGCTTATGTAACGAATGGAGAACGCCTTCCTTATACATTTTCAACGGATTTATATTTATTACACATCCAATCGTATTAAGAGCACACAGCTTGAGTAGTGTTCCCGTCGGACATAGTTTACTATAAATGGGGTCTATTTTATATTCTTTTTTGTAATAAATTCAAATTTATTAGTTTTCTGAATTAATAGTTTCCACTGCTGTTGTACTCGAAGTCCTCCGCGTTTTCCGTAGTCTATTTAAACTTTATGCGTCCAATTATTTATAGTTCCTGTTCTGAGTGTAACCTTCATGGGAATTCAGGGCGCGGTTTAATGAGGTCCGCTATGAAAACGTTCATCAATTATCGACGGCGACCGACGGCTTGTTTACGACAACGCGGACGCATTTAGTTTATGTGACATTATGGCGAGCTTTGAACACAACAGTGGAATAAGTGCCCATAATTAAATATTCCAGGCGCGGTATTGTTAAAACTAGATCATAAGTCGTCGTAATAACTTGGCAAGGGTATCAGGAGTGGGTGACGGCTTATACAAAACGGAAAATACAATTTGGATTTAAATGAGTGCGCATGTGTGGCAGAGCAGTGACGGTTGTGTGCACACCATATTGTGCCAGTCGGTTTCGCACACGCAACTTGTTCAGATCAATTGAGTGCCATTGAATCGGTGATCCCCAACAGGACTGTACAGTTCGTCAAGGTTACACCTCAAGCACACAATCTGTTGCCGAGCCAAGCTCACAATACGGCTTGTCCTTTGTGTTCACAATGGTTACCGAAGTACGATTATTGTGTGGTTAAAATTTATAATTTGATTTTTCATAAGCCATTCTAATATTTTAGATTAACTTTGATTTTTACTTATCCACAATCATTCGCCTGTATTCATTTTTTTTGGTTTTGTTCTTGTGTGACTACTTCAGTCAATTAGTTTGTCCGTTTTTAATAATAAGCACCTAAATTCATAACCACTTGGTGTTCATCATGCCAGCTAGTTTCAGTGCATGACGCCCAGGCCTTGTAGAATGTGTCTAGCTCCTAGTTATGTTTGCAGCATGGGCGCACCGACTCGTACCGCGTCGCAACCATCGGCCCCTTAAAGGATGATAATAGAACCGCTGATGGACAGTACAAGGTTTTTAATTTGCATTTTCATCTCATTTTTTTATTTTATAATGTCACATTTTCCTTACTTTAGCATGTATTGTGTCATCATGGCATACATCATTTTAATATATATTTTTTTCTTGTTTAGTGATTGCGCTACTCGTACATATTAATTCGTACGTACAAGGAAAACTTTTGTATAAATTATAATAAAAATGTCTCTGCAACGATTTCACTATATTATTATTAATATTTATTTCTATACACAACAGACCCGCCGGAAACCCCCTGCGAAGAAACGGAAAGCGGGAGACTTAGATGATCTTAAACAGGAATTAGATATCGACTACCACAAAGTAACGCCAGAGGAACTGTACCAAAGATTTCAAACGCACCCCGAAAATGTAAGATGAATACAAACATATTATTCAACAGATTCATTGCTGCTTCAAACTAAAAGTATATAAAACTTCTTTTTTCATCAGGGACTTAGTCACGCAAAAGCGAAAGAAAACCTTGAACGAGATGGCCCAAATGCACTCACACCTCCAAAACAGACACCTGAATGGGTTAAGTTTTGTAAAAATCTCTTCGGTGGTTTCGCGTTATTACTGTGGATTGGTGCTATCCTATGCTTTATTGCCTATGGTATTGTGGTAAGTTGTAGGCTCTTAATGATTTACGGTCATCTATTATAAATTTTTGATATATTACAATAACCTCATAAAACTCCAGGCGAGTACTGTTGAAGAACCCTCGGATGACAACTTGTATCTCGGAATCGTATTGGCGGCTGTCGTTATCGTGACTGGAATCTTCTCTTACTACCAAGAAAGCAAGTCTTCCAAGATCATGGAATCCTTCAAGAACATGGTACCTCAATTCGCTACCGTCATCCGTGAAGGAGAAAAGTTAACGCTTCGTGCTGAGGATCTGGTGCTTGGAGACGTTGTTGAGGTCTGTTATACCATCTAAATATAAAAGTTAAACTTCCAATACAAGGCCTAAATGTCTAATTGGTTGTAACATTAAAGGTGAAATTCGGCGATCGTATCCCTGCTGATATCAGGATCATTGAGGCTCGTGGATTCAAAGTGGACAACTCAAGTTTAACTGGCGAATCGGAACCTCAGTCCCGTGGACCCGAGTTCACTAATGAAAATCCTCTGGAAACTAAGAACTTGGCATTCTTCTCCACCAATGCTGTCGAAGGAACTGCTAAAGGAATCGTTATCTGCTGTGGTGACAACACGGTAAAAATTAACAGATGGTTAATTTGAATTGTTTGATAACGTTACGAGGTTTTAAACTCTGGTAATTGACAGGTGATGGGTCGTATTGCTGGTCTGGCTTCTGGTTTGGATACTGGTGAGACCCCCATTGCTAAGGAAATCCACCACTTCATCCACTTGATTACCGGCGTGGCTGTCTTCCTGGGAGTTACTTTCTTCATCATTGCCTTTATCCTTGGTTACCACTGGCTCGATGCCGTCATTTTCCTTATTGGTAAGTACAATTGACAACAAGCTTTCAGGACTTAATTCATTGTGGGTTCTTTTGGTCCTTAATTTTATATTTTAATTTGATGACATCATCGCTTCCTTTTTTCAGGTATCATTGTAGCCAACGTACCCGAAGGTTTACTCGCCACCGTAACTGTATGTTTGACCCTGACTGCCAAGCGCATGGCCTCCAAAAACTGTCTCGTGAAGAATTTGGAAGCTGTAGAGACTCTTGGATCTACATCTACCATCTGCTCAGACAAGACCGGAACCTTAACCCAGAACAGGATGACAGTTGCTCATATGTGGTTCGACAACCAGATCATTGAAGCTGATACTACTGAGGATCAATCTGGAGTACAATATGGTAATTGGAAATTATACACTTTACGTAACACAACTCTCGCTAGTAGCTTTTATCTGGTCTGTTTAAAAATTCTTTAAAAAGACTAAGATTGTGTGGATTATTTTATTGGGTTTGAAATAAATTGACTTTAAAATTTATTTAACATTGGATGCATGACTTTAAATTACTTTCTATTATCAGACCGCACCAGCCCCGGATTCAAGGCCCTCGCCAAGATCGCAAGTCTCTGCAATCGCGCCGAATTCAAAGGTGGTCAGGACGGTGTACCTATTCTGAAGAAGGAAGTGGCCGGCGATGCCTCTGAAGCTGCCCTGCTTAAATGTATGGAACTGGCCCTCGGGGATGTCCTGTCTATCAGAAAGAGGAACAAGAAAGTATGCGAGATCCCATTCAACTCTACCAACAAGTACCAAGTGTCTGTTCACGAGAGCGATGATCCCAGCGACCCTCGTCACCTGCTGGTCATGAAGGGAGCTCCCGAGAGGATCTTGGAACGCTGCAGCACTATTTTCATTGGTGGCAAGGAAAAGGTATTATAAATATACATGATATTAATAATTAGACACTGATACTGAAGTACTGAATGATACTATGAATTTTTCTGATTTTTAACAGGTCTTGGATGAGGAAATGAAGGAAGCTTTCAACAATGCCTACTTGGAGCTCGGTGGTCTTGGTGAACGTGTACTCGGTTTCTGCGACCTTCAACTGCCCTCTGACAAGTACCCCATTGGCTACAAGTTTAACACTGACGACCCCAACTTCCCACTCGACAACCTGCGTTTCGTTGGCCTCATGAGTATGATTGACCCACCTCGCGCTGCCGTACCTGATGCCGTCGCCAAATGCCGATCCGCTGGTATCAAGGTAAGGTTTAACTTATTGTGTTTAATAACTATCGATTTTTATATAAAACTAATTACATCATTAATTTATTTCCTCCCAGGTCATTATGGTTACTGGAGATCACCCTATCACTGCCAAGGCTATCGCCAAATCCGTAGGAATTATCTCTGAAGGAAACGAAACCGTTGAAGACATCGCCGCTCGTCTGAATATTCCCGTATCTGAAGTCAACCCTCGTGAAGCTAAGGCCGCTGTAGTTCACGGAACTGAACTTAGGGATCTTAACTCGGATCAACTCGACGAAATTCTCAAGTAAGATTGTTTTACAGGACATAACTATTGTTTTGTTAAATTACTATAAATGTTAAATAATTAATTATTTAAAAAACAAAAACAATATAAAAAGGAATCGTCTATTATTCAAATTTGTCGGTTACAACAAAACAAAGAATAGATCAAATAGTATGTATATTTAATCGATAACGGTTATATAAATACACACAAATCAAAGGACGTTGTAGGTCGTGCAGACCTTTTCGATAATTGTCAAAATACGATATATTTCAGACATTATCTCGGTACACTGACTGGAAGCTAGACATGTTTTTGCTAAAGACTCGGTCACAGGAAATATTTTCGATATTTCTTGGTAATGTTAGTATAACTTCTTCATAGGTTTCACACGGAGATCGTATTCGCCCGCACCTCCCCTCAGCAGAAGCTGATCATCGTAGAAGGCTGCCAACGACTGGGTGCTATTGTGGCCGTGACGGGTGACGGTGTCAATGACTCGCCAGCTCTCAAGAAGGCTGACATCGGTGTAGCTATGGGTATCGCCGGCTCCGACGTGTCCAAACAAGTAAGAAATCTTACTTAACATGTTTTTTCTTCGCCTTAAAATACTATTAACATCACATAACAGTAAAAGAGTTCTTCGTTTTTCATGATAAAAATCTTTAGACTTGCCTTTTACTTATAGAAACTGGTTTAGATATATGTCAAGTACTGTATCGCGGAAAAAAAATGGTTATTAATGAAAGTTCTCTGTAATAAATGTCTTTAATTCCCAGGCTGCTGACATGATCCTGTTGGATGACAACTTCGCGTCTATCGTCACCGGAGTCGAGGAGGGTCGCCTCATCTTCGACAACCTCAAGAAGTCTATCGCTTACACTCTGACATCGAACATTCCTGAAATTTCTCCCTTCCTTGCGTTTATCCTTTGCGACATTCCTCTGCCCCTAGGCACTGTTACCATCCTCTGCATCGATCTCGGAACGGACATGGTAAGTTGGACTTTATACGTTTACATTAAGGTGGATTATACTATGTTTAAGGAGTACACTCGCAACTGGTACTTAAAGTATGAATATAGAATTTTACTTTGATTGAAACTGAAAAAAAATATATAAAGAATTTATTGGAGGTCAAATGGTTTACATTTGAAAAGATGACACAGTTTATCAGAACATATTTGGAAATAAAAATAATAATTAAATTTGATCTTTGTCAGGATTTGATTATATTGTAATTGTTGCGATTGTACTACGACTCATTATAATATTTAATTGTAAAAAAATATTACAAAAAAACCTGGAAACATTGGAATAGAAAACATCTGAGAAAATTGCTGTCTTAAATATAGGATTTTTCAGCCGACGACTAAGGAAGATTTAGTTTGTTTAAAGTAACATTGCCATTAGGTGCCCGCTATAGCGCTGGCGTACGAGGAGGCGGAAGCGGATATTATGAAACGCCCGCCTAGAAACCCATTTAGCGACAAACTTGTCAACGAAAGGTCACTTATTCCTTACACTGTGCCTAACTCCTAACTGGTTTTCAGCTGCGAGCTATAACATGTGTTATTGGAAAAGCGTTCGCTTACGAGAATGTTAGGTTTAACTAAATGGAGTTCCACGCCTTGTTCTGTTGTTCTAATAATGGAGTGATGCTTGGATTTACCTTACAGCGTGACATGTTGGTGTTTCTTTCATTTTCAAATGTTCGAGCTTATATTCTGGTCATATCTTCTTAACTAGATGGTCGATAACTTACCTTTCCTTTTTTTTCCTATATTTCCTCTTTGTCCAAGATCTTCATCAATATTCCAATATTGTTTATCACCGTTGCTGGTGAATTATTCCCTTGAAAAGAACCATGAGCTCTTACAAAGAAAGTGATAATATCAAACACCAAACTGTGACGCTGTGTGTATTAAACAGAACTAATTATGTGCTGTCATTAACTGTTTGATATCGGTGTATATAAAATGTCATGTATACGAGAGGTAAATAATACTAGGGATTATATTCTCGAGAATACTAGCTTCAATTCTCCAACGGCGGACACTACACATGACTTTTCCAATCATCATCATCACCAGCCATCATCATCGTCACCCAAGTTACCATGATCGTTGATGAACACATTCACCGATGTCGGTACAACATCATTCACGAATCATTCGTTCAAGTTTTGTTTTACATCCTCGTGGTGCAGAAGAAGTGTCATGTCATGGTCTATTTTTTGTGTGTTTAAGATTTTGTTTTCTACTAGTTTTAAGCATCGCGAGATATTGCAAGCATACTTCCCTGATGAACGTATTGGTGACAAAAAAAAATTAATACAAAATGGAGGTAGTTTGAAGTTTGGTTAGAGGTGATACCAGGGTCGTATGGTTACAAATGTCTTGTAAATGTTGTGTTGGATGTTGTGGACACGTGGGTGGCGACTTGCGACGCACGCTTGCCGATGGCTCTCATAGCTAGTGTTTGTGTAGGTGCCCGCCATTTCCCTGGCTTACGAGGAGGCCGAATCTGACATAATGAAGCGACAGCCGCGTAATCCTTTCACTGATAAGCTCGTTAACGAGAGGTAAAATACAAGGCGAGAGACAAAGCTCGTACAAATGATTTTATTGTTACGCTATTTGCTTGCTACCACGTGTACATTAGTCTTCAATTTTGGGGTTTGGTTGTTGCCTGCTGTGTGCCGGTGTTATAGTATGTCGATATTGAAGGCGACAATCGCACCGCTCCAGTTTTTCTGCCTTGCGTTTGTCTTTTAACTTATCTGTATTAACTGATCTTCTATTTCCTTTAATGTAGCTTGATGTCTGGAATAATGTGTTTTGTGCTCCGGCTGCTTGCCGATGAAACACATTGTTCCACGTTATGTTTTGTGGTTTTTTCTTGTTATTTATATTATATTACCGTGAGTTTAAAAGGTAAGTTGATCGTTGTCTTCTGTCTGCCATCTCTGTCTCTCTCGTGCATGTATTTCTGAACACCTCAACGTCTTCTTAGTAATTATTTTCACTGTTATTTTTATATATTTATTTTTTTATTATCATCCTTATCCTTCATGCACACCATAACACAATATATTAGGAAGATATCATTCGGTTTAGAAGTATTACCACTTGTCATGTCACAGCATTTTCGATTTACACAGCGGCTAGGTTGTTTTATATAAGTACATTTACACTTTCCTACATATTTATATACTAGGGCTTATCTGAATCATAAATAGTTTAGTATATCATATACTATGACCTATACGGGCGTCATGCTGATGATTTTTCTCACACGCTAGATATTTCTTATTTCCGTAATATCGTTATAACATGTACCTACTATTAGATGTATTGTATGTGCGTCCGGAGCTAGAGGTAGTGTCGTCGGATATCGGTATAGGTGAAGTATGTAAGTTTGGAGTCGGTGTTTGCTGATTGCTTGGTGTTTACGAAGGTACCCGCTATATCATTGGCGTATGAGGCACCAGAGTCAGATATCATGAAGCGGCAGCCTCGAGATCCCTACCGCGACAACCTCGTCAACAGAAGGTCGGCCGCACCCGCCACCATCGCCGTGGCAACGCTTTATAGATACTCATCTGGGTGTTAACACTTTCAATAGCCCCACTATCAAAATTACAGGATGTACAGTACAGGATGCAATTAATAATATCAATGATATCATTATGAATTGTAATCTTGAAATACGAGCTTAAATGTTTCTCTTACCTGGAAGAGTAGCAGATAAATAGTACCAACATATGCCAATATCAAAATTTTAATTGTCATAGAACAGAAAATTTTGCAGTTTTGGAATATTAAATTCGACTTGTATGTTTTTGTAAATTGAATCCTGTACTTTATTAATTGGTTAACTAAACATTTTAATGGTGCGGCTACTTGTGGTTAAACAGTTCCATTTGACATGGATGTGGAAGAGTGATTATGGAGACAGATCCCAACCCTCGATCTAGCACTAAGCAATTACCCCCCAAACTTAAACTGGCCCAACAAATATATGAACGACATACAATATACTCAGTGTAATATACACGATCTACTATTTGTTTCTGTTAGCTTCTTGAGAATGTTTTTAAGAATTCTTTTAGATCCCTTTTTACATAGAGAATAGATGATAAAATAGTATTAATCTTTTAAATCTTCACTCTTCCATATTTTTAAAAATAGTTCAGAAGCGACGTAAATGATGTCGATAATTGCACGTTTAGCGAAAAATAGAAGACTTAGAGGTCATACAAATGTAGGATATAGTGGAATCAACTGTGTGTTAATGTTTAGAATGTAGAAGAACATAGATTTTCTTTAATAGAATATTTATTTTAGTTTATCAAAGGAATGTCTTAGGCGATATGGTGATTACTATTATGATTTTCATCTGTCCATTGATTTCTTTTGTGTTTGTTTAGTCTTTATGGCAGTTTATTAGCACGTCGTTATATCGGTCACAAGCTGGTCAGCTTCAATCATTCACAATGTACACATTCTGTAACACGCTTTATTTTAATAGTCCCTGCTTCTGCTTATTTTTCTATAATATGTCGTGCATGTTTTGGTTTACGGTAAGTATCCGTCTATTAATACTGTTCTCCAAATGGTCTAGTAATAATAATATTATTTTTAATATCAAAATATTGTGATCTTACTCCTATTCATATGATTTATTACTACACCATATAACGCGCTCATGTACATATATTTGATTAGGGGCTTTATACATATATACATATTTTTTTATTAAGGCTACTAAATTTGTTTGCAAAAACTCTGCTTATTATTTTGTCTCAAATAATATTAATGACAGAAGTCCAAGACATTGCATGTATGTATGTGATGATTTTTCTAGAGAATTTATAAAACAATAGTTGTACAGAAAAAAGCTTTAAAATATTCGCTATCGGTGTCTGATTTTACGAATTTATTATTTTAAAAGTCACTTTATTTCTGATAGCATTTTTATAAAAACGTAAAATCAGCGCTAGTTATTCCATGTCATTATCAAAACACTGACTGTAATATTGGCTCCGACTATACAGGTTGATTTCCATGGCTTACGGCCAAATCGGAATGATTCAAGCCGCAGCTGGTTTCTTTGTATACTTCGTGATCATGGCTGAAAACGGATTCCTTCCCACGAAACTGTTCGGCATCAGGAAGCAATGGGACTCCAAGGCCATCAACGATCTGCCCGACTCCTATGGACAGGAATGGGTCCGTATACATTCCAATAGAACTATTTCTTTCCGTGTAGCTTCATCTCACTTTAAACTTATTCTCTTCCAGACCTACCGTGACCGCAAGGCTCTCGAGTTCACTTGCCACACGGCTTTCTTCGTTTCCATCGTCGTAGTACAGTGGGCCGACTTGATCATTTGCAAGACTCGCCGCAACTCTATCGTCCACCAGGGCATGCGCAACTGGGCCCTGAACTTCGGTCTCGTGTTCGAAACTGCCCTCGCCGCCTTCTTATCCTACACTCCCGGCATGGACAAGGGTCTGCGGATGTATCCTCTCAAGTATGTATATGTTCAAAGTTCCAAGTCTTCACGTATGTTCCTATACTCAATGCGTGTAATGTTCCCCAGGTTCGTGTGGTGGCTGCCCGCCATTCCGTTCATGCTGTCCATCTTCATCTACGATGAGATCCGACGTTTCTACCTCCGCCGTAACCCCGGCGGCTGGCTCGAACAAGAGACTTACTACTAATCTGCACGGACCGCTGTCCACACCGTCGCGTCGTGCAACTCTTAGTTACCGCGTACATTTCATTTGTGTTCTTATATCAGACTGACAGAGGTTGCGGTGCCGTTCAGGTATATGTGTAATCGCTGTCGTGTAAGCTTCTCACCGCTTGTTACCGCATCGCCGCCGAGTGTCCGCCGCGAGCCCGCCGCCCCTTCACCGCTCCTCCGCCGACACAGCGCCGACTGTTCCCGCGAGCGCCCGGCCTCGGTCGCGGATCTTCGTCCTGATATATATTCATGAACTATCTATGTAATATGTATATATGAACAGTGAGAGTTATTATGTATTTGTGATGTTTAATGATGTTAAACACTTTTATTTGTTATAATGTGAATCTCTTTATATAGTATCATGAATCTCAATCGTATCTCGCGAGTCGGCTGTAGGAGGACGACCCGTCTCCCGTAGCGACGGTCCCGCGGCACGCACGCGTCTTTAGATCGCCCTCGGTCATATAACATAGAATGTAATGATATAATTAAATTGTTTTTCACACACTTATATGATAAGTAACAGATATCGTTTAGCGGTAGAGGTCCGTCGCCGCCCGGCCGGCGCCAGCCAGCGCCCGGCGGCACGAGAAGCATTTGTTGTAATTAACGGTTAAGAAGCTACGATTGTAATCGTTTAAGTGATCTAGATTAAGTTGAATTTTTCGAGTGAATAATGTTTAGTTGACGATACGAAGTGGTGCGTGGTGTGTGAGAGCTCGATGTGGAGTGCCTGAGTTTTAGTGTATTACTGCTTACTGTTAGGTAGGTAGTTGAAATTTTGAGCCATATTTTCAATCGTAAAGTAGTCAAACGAAGCATACACAGTCGCGAACGCTTAGCGGGCCGGTGCGTCGGCGGTCGTGCCGCACCCGCGCCGCGCCGCCGCCGCGCGAGCCCCGGCCGGACACTATGCTTTTCTTTTTCTAAAATTAACTGATATTAGTGATTTTCGTGAAATTCATTAAAATAGTCCGCTCATGGTAATGTAAGATTTTATTTCTTAATTAAAAGATAATAAACAAAACGTAGAAATGCGTAATTAGAAATTTTTAAAATTATACAGTTATGATAGAGTCATCTTGTTTTGATCGGCGCTCCGTCCCTCCGTCGACCGGGCCGGGCCGGAGCGGGCCGGCAGTGGACGGTGGGCGGTCCGTGGGCAGGCCGTGAGCAGTCCGCGAGCAGACCGTGGGCGCCGGTCGGAGGGACCGAGCGATCGATGAATTTCAATTTTCGTAACGAAATAACATATAACATATAATAATGGTTACAAAAGTAATAATTATATTACATTATAGCGACTATAAATCTAAATTATATGAAATGTTTATAGATTTAAATGATGTTTGTTTGTTTAGAGTGACCTTCAGTGCTCGCTCCCCGTGAGCGACGTACGTTCCGCAGACAATAGTCTATGTTTGAATTATTTATATGATCTTTGTAAGCTATTCGTTTAACGTACACTGTAGAACTAACTTTGTGTTGCGTTCGACAGTTCTTTACACAGTTTCATTTTATAGTATTACTCTGTTGGCTAGGAATGCTGTAAAAATGTAAGTGTTAATAAAAAAAACATTTTCAAAATATTATTGCGATGTTTCATTCATATTAGATATTTAACATTAAATCGTATTTATGCTGAACCTTGGTCTGATTTACGTCGTGCAGACTTACCTCCACCTTTATTCAAGTAATATAAGATTCTCTCTTCTTGTATTAAAAATGAAGGCAAAAATATCAGTAAAAAGTTATTAGTAATATGTACATACACTGCAAGATTAAAGCCTCAAAATTCATATATGAAATTCTAAACTAAATATCTAAAATAATCCTAACAAATCGAGATTTCTTAAGCATTTTCTGTTCTTGGATAAAAAATGTTCAGTTAATAAATAAAATCTTTGAACAAAGCTAGAGATGACTGGGCAAAACTACATGCTATCAAACATTCATAGTTCATTATAAAAGTGTGATAAATCACAATAACTCCTTTAAAATTCAACTTAAGTATTAAATTATCCTCATTGATATCTGAATTACTTAATAAATTTCATTCTGTGTATTGCCCGTTCATAAAAATATCATTTTCAAATTTACATCTATTGTGTATTTCCGCAAAACGAAACATAAAAACTGACTACTTCATTTCAGTTAAGTTTCTTACTGGATGTACTTTAATAAATCATCGAAGAAAGATTATTTATTTAAAAAAATATCTTAATCTATGGTTGTAACCATAAAAACTTAATATTTTCAATTGCTACACTTAAATTTAGGAATAAAGTTATACTTGTTATATCTTTTTTTTTTTATTTGTAAGTAAGAGAAACAAACAGCATATTTTATATCACATAAAACTTATTAACCTTAAATAACCCACATGCCAATACAGTTTCCACAAATAATTATTCTGGAAGTGAAGAAATATATAAAAAAAATAAAACAGTAAAATTAAATGTAAGATACTTTACATTATTTATATTTAAAAAATATAATAATAAAAGCTGAAACAATAGATTCACCATTCTAACTATTCTACTTACCTGTATTTTAAAAACCAGATTCCTCTGGTCCTCAATGAAAAATCCAACCAATTCTATTTTTCTTTTGGAAACGTTACAATCTACTTATCTTCAAAATTAATAGAGCTGAGTTATAAAATTTAAAACGTTTACTTAATATGTACTATGTAGTAAGAGGTAGATGAACCTATAGGTAGGAAAAATATTTATTTTAAGAATCAAACATGTTTTTTTTTAAACTAACATTAGACAGAAAAAGGGATTTAAAAATAATAGAAATATGTCATTTCATATAACTTGTTAATTTATATCAACGCATAATTTTGTAAAGAGCTATAACAACGAAGGTTATCTTCTACTTTGAATATATTAATGTAAGTTGTAACTACATTTCTAAGCATTTTATTTTCCTTAACACCTTTTATTGTAATTGTGGCTCACCTAGAACTAAAGAAAAGCCATACGGTATATATATTTATTATTTGACAAAATTTTATTTCATGAATCAGATGGGACATACTGTGGTGGTAACTACAGCTCGAACATGGACTGGGGTAGTGCCACCCTCTCACAGAAGATCGAGTTAAAATACCTAGTAATGGCTGCGTTTCGTTCGTTAAATGAGACAGCCGGTTGCCTTTTCCCATTTCCCACTTTTCCTCTCCATCGTCCACAATCAAGATCGGCAATGCATCCACAACATTCCTATTGCATAACATTGCAAATGTCTATGTGCAACGGAGACTACCTTCCATTCAGTAGGCCGTAAGCTTCTTTGCCACCTTTGATATAAAAAAATATATGTTTTACCACTGATAGGTACTAGGTATAACAATAGTTTTTTTTATTGCTCGTGACAAAGTTATAATAAAATTGGTTTTCATAATCATCACGCTGAAACTTATTATTGTTCATAATTAGGTGTAAACTGATGAAGTAGAATGTTGATAAGTAAATGTAAACTGTCGTAGGTAAATAATAAGCATAAATGATGAATTTGACGATGTAATATTCAGAAGAAAAACATCACAAAATAATTTATTTGAAGGAACTAATCGTGTGTTCGTTCCCTATATACTTATCGTTCAAGTTATATCACACATCATCACACTGCTAAGCTACGGAGGTTTTCCAGTTTGTCTTTTCATTATAAATTTTCCCTCTTTATAGTAATAGCGAAGGTTATTCAATAAAAAAGAGGAAAACACTTCATATGTAACGTGACGACTGACAATACTAACTTGAGCTATTAGTATATTAAAAAAATATCCAATTTCTTTCTTATACGTAAATTTTATATACTTTCAATTTGAGTAATTTTAATATTATATATATTTTTTCTGATAAATATCGAAATTCATAGTAGTCGTGTATATAATTATTTCATTCGTAACCATTTTTCTTAAATTGGTATAAACGACATCTAACGGATGATTCTGGTATTTTAAACGCCTCCATTTTACAACGAATATTTAAGGGTACAAAATATTCCGATACGGAGCTTACCGCGGCTGCAATTGTTGAACCGCTGAGAATAATATGTAAAATAATTATTAACAAATAATAAATATGATTTATATTTTGAAAATTATATCTCGTGGCAATCAAGTTATAAAATATTGGATGTCATTATTTTCTCGTCTGTTTTGTTATTGAAATTTTAAAATAGCAAGTAGCAAGTCGTAATCTAAATGGAAATAAAAATTTTATAGATGCTAAATTATTCATGGAAATTCAATTCCATTTGAAACGACTATTGCTCGCCTTGGCAAAACTCCAGTGTCCTGATTGCATCGACATTCGTAGATTTTACGCAATTCCCAGCTTTATTTATCCCAGTTACCTATTTAATATCTACCATCATATAGTTTATACGATAATTTATTTTGAGTGTTATTTGTAACTCTTCACATTTACAGTCTTAGGATACATATGCATGTTTATAATAAAATTGTATAGATGATATTATAGAAGGTCCTCAAATTGAATTTCCTAGCTATTGATTTATTTTGAGTTTATATATTAATAATTTTCACTATTACTTGTTTATTGATTATTACGTGGTTAGTTATTAATATAGCTCGGAGCTTCCCCAAAGCCCTGCCGAGGTCATACGTCCTCGGCCTTGACGACACTCCCCTAGTATAGCTACATCTACATTCAGATACCTGTAACGTCCTTCGTCCTATCACCGCGCAGTATTCAACACGCCTCGCCGTGCCCCTCGCAAACAGCGCATGTGCAAATCTGACAGCGACCGTGGCAGCACGTACTAAGTTTTCTTGATCATCTCATACTGTAATTCATCCTCACAATCTGTTTAACAAACACCAAACTCTGCGTCATAGCGTGAATGCTGCCCAGCGATGTACCTGTGAGACAGAATGGTCGCCAACGCCGGCAGTATAAATCCAACTAATGGTAAACATGTCGCGTTGGATGCATTGTGTTATCTCTGAGTGTATTCATTGTTTTGTGTTGTGCAGTGGAGGCTACGGCATACATAAGTGCTGTTGCCGCTTTCGCCGTGGTGGTGCTCGTGGTGCTGCTGTTCCTTGGCAGGCGCTGGTGTTACACCGCGGTCTTCGGTCGCAAGTGCTGCGATGACATACTCACCGTAAATGCTGCTATTGCCTCCCCAGGCCTCCCAATCGAAAATGCTCCGTTTGGTTAGAAAATATACTATTTCATACCCATCATTACATTGTATATAATGCTTTTTTATATTTAAACCGAGAATAATTATAAAAAATTAGAAAATGTATTAGAAAAGTATCCTGCCATAAATATTTTATTTATAAATGGTTGTTAGAATTAATTTGCTTTGTGTTAGGGGAATAGAATATTAGAAGTAACGTTGTAGTTACATAGTTACAAGGACAAAGAGTGCGTCACGAATGCCCATGAGTAAGAAACAATGGTCACCCTTTTAATGATTTAAAGTTGTTATAATTATCCTATAATTAGACAATTAGTTGAATAGATGTTAGCGTATTATTATATTGATTGAAGTTGTCCGTACCTCTGTGTTGTTATAGATGCTTTGTCGAAACCGAACCATTACCCCGAACGTATATTCAAATTCGAGGCCTCGGACGAGGATGAGGAGCTGCGTTTGCGCATCCAACAGGTAATTTTAAAATGGCAAGATTTTTTCTGGACTGGATGAACAGCTTCTGTCAGATTTTGACATCGTTAATAATATCGATCCTTATATTTTCAATTAAATATTAAAGTATCGTGAAAGTCGATTCAAACTCTGAGTTATAATAAATTCAAGAGGTCAATCCAGTATTCATCGAACGTTTGCCGCCATTAAAATCCAATGTGAGCCGCGTAAACATATTACTCAGACCATTTCCACTGTTATCTTAATCCACACCTGTAGAGCATCTTTCGTCTAATGGATTGGATTGATCGCGCCTTTTAAGATTTAACAGATATTATTTTATAACTAACTTTCCATGAATCCGAATACTTAATCTGTTGTATATTAGGTTCTTACATATGGAATTATCGTTTTCTACAACCCGCCACTTTGATCTCAAATATCTGGTGTTTCATTAGGAATTTAAATGTATTTCAATTTTACATCTGCCCATCGAATTTAAGTTTCGAATTTTATAGTGGCATTTGTTTTATAAGTAACTCAGTTAGTTATTTTTAATTGCTTCTGGTTATAAACAGAAACAATGTACAATATAACATACTTTGACACCATACGTTTCAAGGTATCATCAGCAGACACGTTAAATTAATGATATGTGTACATGTATGGGGAAGCCAACGTATGTGTATGTGTATTATGTTCGCGGTATGTTTTTGATATAAACTATTATAAAAAACCATTCTCTTCGCGGGATTTCGTTTTCAACAACAAATGCCGCTACTACAGATGGACATCGAAGCTGAAAAATAAACCGTGTAAATTCAGTGACCACCGATCAAACTGAAATAGAATTTAGTGTTTTGTCATAAATTTAAGAGAATATAATATTACAATCGTTTTTTATTAAACTAACTTCATATGTAAGAACCGAATATAATACTACAGATGTTATGTTCTGTAGAATAATTTTCCTTTTGTGTTGTTTTAGGTAATCAGCGATCAAATATTTAGCTGCCCTTAAACCTTAAACTTTGAGTGATTATGTCATTATAACAACAACCTTAGTCGACCTTCAGTAGAGTTTCCTTCACGCTACGTAGACAATTATTGTTTTCAGTGTTAAGTAATGTAGACATTAGTGATTTCGGTTTAGTTTTATAAGTGTTATATAATCTTTTGTATTCAAATATATATACGCAAAAAAATAGTTCACGTAAATATGCTATAGTGGTCGGCCTTAATGTATTTCCAGGACAAAGAGGAGGTGGAATGCAGGTATGAGGAGAAAAATGAAAACCAGGTTCAATCGAAGGTTGAAGTAGAACTGATAGAAACCAGCTTAAGAGAGACCAGCCTGAGGGAGACGAAGATTGATGATGTGGTTCAACAAAGAGCGGACTACATACACACATTAGAAGCACAGAGCAGTGTTGAGAGTGACGTCATCGCCCATAATGTAAACTACAACTATTAAATGCTATATAAAGTTTAAAACATTCCCTTAAATTGATAACATACGCTAGAGTCCAACTACCAAACGTTAATATCATTAACATTTCTTAGTAATTTTACAAAATAATTATCTAGTGTTGTAAAGCAAACGAAATAAACTTTATTCCAGTATGCAAGATAAGGTTTCAAATACAAGATCTTATATTTCTATATTTCCACAGGATACATCTCTGTTGTGTAGTGATAGTGGCTCTGAGAGGGGATGCGTTGAGTTGACGCTACTGTTCGACGCGCCCGTCCGCAATATGACGGTACACGTACTACAAGCACGCTCTTTGCCGCACAAAACTGGCTCACAAGTGCTACAAAGTCAGGTAATATGACTAATTGATATGAAATACTTAGATAATATTATTTTTTACATTCGATATATCGGATTACAAGTATAATGTTACCTTTTTATGGATAATTCGTTATAAATATCAATCAAAATCAGCCTCATAAAAAGCGGATCTAAATCCACCCAAGTTCTCATTCTTACGTTGTTTAATGATTATATTTTCTTTAAATCTAAACTTTATTATAGGTCAGAATAGTTCTATTGCCTCTGAAGAAACAGAAATATAAATCTAAAATCCGTAATGGAGAAAATCCTCAATATATGGAAAGTTTTGTTCTGCATAAAATTAATCCAGGTATGTGTTGCTCATTATGGAATTGTTTTAAGTAAATACGTCATCAAAGGTTTGCATATATATAAATATATTATATATTTGTTTCAGAGGACGTACACGGTATGGGCTTGCGTATCAGAATATATGGCTGCGAAAGAATGCGCAGACAGCGATTGCTCGGAGAAGCAAATGTTAGCTTTGCGACTCTCAATTTCGAGCTCGAAAACAACTTGTGGCTTCAACTAGCACCAAGACAACATCACCAGCCAAGTCTACAGGTATATATGATCAGGAGTATGAGTGTTAGATAGTAAGGTTTGTATCTAATTCTTAGACCCAGTTTCATCAATCAATGTTTGTTTAATCTAAACCCAGCAGTTACTAACCAACCTACAAAATTATAAATGTCTGTTAAAACATTTACGTCCCACGATGACAAATTAACAACGCATTATTAAACGTCATGTCAAATGACCGACTACCAAATTATTCGTTCTTGTTATAAGACGACAAAATGAAAACTATAGCGTTTAATATGGCACGTTTGCCACGATGCACCACTTTATACTTTGATCGTATATATCCCTCAATACGTCACTTGTTAGGTAATGCGACCAAATTTTATATATATCGTTGGTTGCATACATTTGGCACACAAAAAAGTTTTCTTTTCAATTTACTAGGTGTAACCTGTCAAAATCGGGTTGTCAATAAATGGTGTTATACAGGATGACTGGTGAATTACTATCAATATTTAAGGAGAATAATCGGTACATGATTCTCATTCGAATTATGTAAAAAAAATAGGCACTTAATTTTTGACAAAATTTCCGTACAAATAAATAAAGTGTTGACACGTTCCAAGTGTTCCAAGTGTGGACGCGTGCGGCGGCGTGCTGATACAACACCACGCCGCCGCACGCGTATGTGTGAGTGTGTGTATACCTAATCTGTAGGGTGTTCACACGATGCGTAATTGATTACATAACTTTTGGTTAACTTTCCTTAGAAGTTTATTAATATTTATGTTATATTAATTTTTATTTTGTCATATATGATTGTCAAATATCAAGTCCTCAAGTATCGATAGTAATTCACCAGTCACCCTGTATATTATTATGTTATAAATATAGGCATAAATTGTGTTCAAATTATTAGAGATAAAAAGAAAAATTTATTTTGCAATGTTATAAAAAAGCTGTAGGCAAAATCATCATAGGAAATGAAATTTTAATTCACTTTATTAATAAGTACAAGGAAATAGTCGAAACTGACAAAACAGATGACGTTACTTTGGTTACAAGAAATCAGGGCTGTGATTGGACAATTGAGTTTTGACAATGCCATTAACATCCTGCTAGCCATTAGACGGAGCTCCAGAGCAGGAATTAATATTAGTGGCTGGTTAAGACAATTAAACGGACATTTGTGCGTGGTGGGACGCTCGATACATCTAACAGAGCATGAAACGCCTTAACACGATGTTACTTATTTAACATTGATTGGTTAAACTGGGTCTTAAGTTAACAGAAGACCTTAATTTACACAACAGAAAACAACAGTTGAAACTTAACAATTCGTTTCTTAACTTACTTTCTTTACCCATCATCTTGATACCACATTTTTTTATTGTCCTTTATTTTTCTCCTTTTAGCTTCTGTTTGAGATGTAAGTGAAATTCTAAAATATTCCTCGCTCTGTAATTATATAAATATACCATGTCATAGCGTCTTCAACTAGAACTAAGTTCTGAATCCTTTTAAGAAATAAGAAAGGGTAGTTAGTATTTAATTGAAATTATAAGTTCCTTAGTAACAAATTGTATAAATTCCCAGCTCCCTAAACTAGATCCAAGCCACTCTATAGCTGGTGTGTTAGCGAGTCCGTCATCTATAACGACCGTGTCACCGGGTGGTAGCGGTGAAGCCTGCAGCTTGGCGAGATCAGACTCCGCCTCCTCATGCTGCAGCACACGCTCTGCACCTGAATTACTCCTCGGACTACAGTACAACCCTACCACAGGACATTTATCTGTTGAGGTAACATTTCACTACTAATCTAGAAATTAATCAATCGTACGTAGTGTAGGTTACCAGATATATGAACTAAGCTAACCAAACCATCCACAGATAATAAAAGGCACTCATTTCCGAAAGCTATCTCCAAACAAGGCACCGGACACTTACGTCAAGTTATGCCTCATCAGCTCTCTTGGAATGGAGATGGGTCGATGCAAGTCCACTACCCGCCGTGCTCAGTCCAATCCTCTCTACAAAGAATTGTTTATATTCCAAGTAAATATAAAAAACGAAACAATGGCCGTTCTTCGAAGGACTGTTATAGCAAAAATCACTACTTAATAGCAAAATTGAGTATTAATTTTGTGCTGTGAACGAAGAAGATAACAATTTAAAATTATACATCATTGTTACTATAGTCGCACTTGAAATTTTAAATCTGCGTGTTTAATTAAAAGATATTTGAAGTTCCTGAATTTTTTCCAAGTATTTTGTGATGAATTATTCAATTGTAATTCAAGGTTGCGCTTTTCCAACTGACGGAAGTGACGCTGATGGTGTCCGTGTGGTGGCGTCGGAGTGTCAAGCGAAACGAAATGGTGGGATGGTTCTCATTGGGGCACAGTTCATCTGGACGAGAGGAGGAAAGACACTGGCACGAGCTGTGTGAGCGACAAGGACAACAGGTGATAATATAAAGATTGAGAGAAAAATAAAAAAAAATTATTGATTTGTGGAGTTTGGTCTCGAAAAACCCCTAACACCGTTCATTTTAATGGAACATACGAGTATTTTGTTGCCAATCATATCAAACAAATATGAAACTCCTATGATGACACGCATCTCCATGAGACAATATATGTATTTACCACGAATTAGCAATAAAATTGTTGAGTATATAAAGTGTTATAACTTATTAACTTGCAGGTCCAACGCTGGCACGTGTTACTGGACTCTTGAGGGTCCCTGACGTAGCGTGTCCAGGACGCGCCCGTTTGAATCCGTCTCGTGCCCCTGACGCACGACCTTTGCCCCGCGGCATCTCCTGTGGCCGCACCACGACGGTGCTTGTTAAAGGACCTCCCCCAGCCTCAGACACGGCTCTGGAACCTGCGTCCGCTTGCCACTTGTGACCTTGCGATCCCGACCTCAGAGGTCTCTTGATGAATCGTCTCATTCAGCTCTGAGCTCTGTGTTGTTGAATTATACTCGATGTGCTTATATTTAACTGTTCTTATGCGAATCGTTTTCGACTGAACAAGTTTTGATGTTAAATGTAAGATCAATATTTATAACGTGGAAACTATTATACAATTGTATTAAATACATTGAGATATGCAATGCAATGTGAAGTAGAGTTAACGTTGAAAGAATGAAATGTATTCAAAGCTTATAAAGTGTGTAAAGTTTAATTCGATTTTATATTCAAAGTATAATTTTGTTTAGTATTTATAGGAAGGTGAAGACTTGGAGCGCACAAACCATGTGAGATAGGATAAAGTAGCGAAAGAATATTTATTGATATTAGATATATTATACAATTACTGATATTATCTTTATTACTTGTTAGGGTTGTACAACTTTTTGCTAATATATAAATAGTTTGGTTTTTTCATATGGCGTTATATATGTATACTTATAAAGTTAAAGGTGGGTTATAAATCTGCACGGAGCCATTGATTATATGAAATTTTATAAACAAAAATGTCTTTTAACAATCGAATATATCTGTAGGAAGGGAGCGGTGGATAGTTTGACAAGAAGAATGCACAAATATTATAAGTTCATAGATATTTAGCTAAGATATTTTTATATGTATTAATGCCAACTTCCAAGCTTTCTTTTTATGATAGATAACCCAAAATTTTTTAATCGGAATATTCAAGATTTTTTCTCTTAAATAAATAAGAAATGTAAATAAACTCGCGTTGAAATAAACACTTAAATAGTTGTAGGTGAGTAGACATCATGATTTATAAAAAATAATTCTTAATAAAATTTATCTGAATTCAATTTAATTTTAACGAAAATATTTTTGTTTTTATATTAAGATATTTATTACGGAACGATACAAAAAGACGGGTAAAGTAAAGCGAGGTAAAGTATTTGTCCACGTATGCTATCATTGTCTTCTTTATTGATAAAACAAAATATTGAAATTAAAATTTTGATTAGTACATATAATAAATTCTAAAACTGAGTGTATGAATTCTTGTATGAAATTTTATGTGAGAACGACGTTTATAATATACATAATGTACATCTATTTGTACGTTTATTTTGTTTAGTTTGGCGTCATATGTACTTCGTATTATAACGAAAATTTTTTTTAGGTACTTTGTTACATTTTCAGAATCTATTCTATTATATTCATTCGTACCAGAAAACTTCGCTTCATATAGAAATTAACTCAAACTACGAAAATGTATAATTTATTCCAAATACTCCTTTTTAATGATATTTTATTTTTACGTATGACGTAAAAGAAAATACAAGAGTGTGATAGTTGCTTTTTGATCTGTAAGGTATTATATCCAAAATTATAAATGTAGCTACTTTACAGAAAGTTGTAATTGTTTAGGTATGAATAGCTTGCTTACGACCGACCAAAATTTTGTATATTTGATAAAATACTTGATAATAATACCTATTTGTCTTTCCCAATTTATTAACCCTATAAATAGTTCTAGATGTAATCTTTGTATTGTAGATTCATTTGTTATAAGTTTTTCATATTTATTAATGATTAATAATGTCCCCAAATGATAATGAATATATTTCTGTGTAATCTGTATGCTTAGTACAAGTTTGTGTCGTCACACTACATACGAAGCGTTTCCCGTTTCTCATTCAATAAACACTGTGAATACTATATATGTGAATGAAAAATTATTATTAACATTCAGTATGTATTGTGACAATGCAAACTTAGTGTAACCGAACCATTGCTGAACGTAAATAAAAAACCTTTTTTATAGCAACTACATTCAAACAAAGTCCGTATGTGCCAGTATATTAAATTTTACTTATATTTTGAGCGACACATAAAATTAATTCATTTTTATTGACAGCTGACAGTGACTTAAAGGGCGGGATTTGAGCTTTTCGTGTTATTGTTAACAGTCTTCAAAAATATGTTTCGTTTCAATTAATAAACTATGTAGCAACATTAGAAAGATATAAATGTACTTTTTTCATCAAACATATATTCCCATATAAAATGTGTAAATCCCGCTTAATAACTACATATAAACATATTAATTAGTGTTGTATTCATTCAAGCTACCAATTTTTATCCGCTTTAACTATTAAACGGCATTATATTAATACTTTGGTTATTATTTTATTATAAAATAATAGTATATTATAAACATATCTAGATAGTGTTCTTGAAATTAAAAATTCTCTTTTTTGGTATCATAATTATATTCTTACATACATATGAGTTAATTGTGGAACTATCGAAATAGTTGTTTCAAATGTGTGTTTAAAATTTAAATATATGTTTATTATTTAATATGAAACTACGTTTGTTACAATTTCTAATGTTCTCAATAAAAATACTTTATACAATTTCCTAATATGTGTTTTATTTACAAAGATAGCTCTCCAGTTTATAATTTACATTTCTATTATTACGATACTGTTGTTAAATTACCTTTACTTACTTACTAAGTACCGGCATAAGCTGAAATGTATAGTTTCGATCGACGGATGTCAAAGATAAACAAGCAATAAATATTTTTCAAATAAACCACATAGCTAAAAACCTATACTTTGATGTTATTAACATAATTCTGACCTAAACTTGAAATTTTTAAGAACTTAAATGTTTTATGGAATCGTCATCTTCAGTTTTTAAGTAAAAATTATAAAACTTACCTTACTATAAAACCCTTTAACGAATTACGAACTAAAATGTTATAAAGATCAATAAAAATAGGTATAATTAAGTGCTAAAGCTATTTTCAAGTGATATTATCACTATCGGAAAAGAGCATATGTTTTCAAGGATAGTTGTAAAACTAATTAACATCAAACAAAGTAATTTTTAATTAAATGGAACGTGTGACTAAATGGGTGAATAAATTAAATTCTTTCCTGACATGTTGTTTGATGGTGACATTATTATAATAAATATTTTATATGTCTGTTGTTTAAAGGGTTTGTTACTTTATATATTTAGAAAGAAATAAAAATGTATTTCATTTTTTTTCAGTTATTCAATACGTTTAAATCAATATGTTAAGATATACAAACATATAAAAGGGTTTAATTTTCTCATAGTAAGATTTATGTGTATTACATACTTTAATTCTGTTACAAACTATTCTGTTTACTGTTTTCTGTACCTATAATTATGTGCAACATGGTTTTATTAAATGTAATTGTAGTTGCATGTGAGGAATATCTTATTTAGCGACGTGTATATATACAGTATTAGTGACTGTCTGTCCTAAAGGAATTTTGTATTTAGTAAAGCCACGTACTTAAAAATGAAGGGAGGTTTTCAAACTTTGTTACGGAGATTTTGTCTCGAAACCAGTATTCTAGGTCTCAAATATTTCTATTTGTATCCAGATTTATTTTCCAGGTGTGTTTAATTTTACGTCGTTTAATATTTAAACTTTAAATAATGAAAAAACTAATAAACCTTCTAGATGTTTCTGGGGAATATCGTTAATTTCAGTGCTGTTCTTGGCTAGTCAAATGACGATTTTTCTTTACAAACGCTTCGATGAAATGCCGACCCGTATCACTATAGAGAATCAGTACGAGCCGATGGTAAATATCTCATACCCAGCGATAACAATATGCTCACCCAATCAAATAACCCTGACGGCAATGAAGCATTTAAATAGGACGCTTGTGTACGTATAAAAATATACACATTATATATTAAAATGAGCGCAAAATACACATGTACCTTATAATAACTCTATGTCACTGACGATTTAATTTTTTAAAAAATCACAAATCATATCATATTCTTATCAGAAATAAAAAACGGTCAGTCAATAGGTATTGGGTATTAAATTTTCAGTTCCTTTTCAGAGATGGCAATCGTACTTTAGACCTGATAGCTATTCTACCACAGTTGCTAGGATTTTACACGATAACTGAGGTTAATGTTGATAGCCTGAAAAATTTGGAAGATTTATTATTAGTAAATCGATATTACGTAAGTATTCAGTGATTGTCTTATTCAAAAATGAGTTGTATCTAGTTGTAATCTCTGGATGGAGTTTTCATGGATGCTAGGCTATGATGGGTACTGATGGTTCCACCTTGAAATTCTTAAGAGAAGGCCTATTCCCAGCTGTTGAATTAATTTTTGTTTGATCGTTAGATGATGACGTTTATATCAATGATTTCTATATTTCAAAATCAAAAGAGTAATAAACATTTTATGCATTAATTTTATTGTTTTAGGCCACGGAAATTTTATCACTAGTACCACAATCATGTGATGATTTTCTGAAATTGTGCTATTTGGATAGTATACGTTATCCGAAATGTAAAGGTCTTTTTAATCCTATACTGACTAAGGACGGTATGTGCTGTATTTTTAACAGTATGTACGCCTATAGAAATCATAGAAGGTATGTTATTAAAAATTTATAATAACAAATATATTAAAGATAAATGTAATACGTAATATTCTTAGGAATAAGATCAGAAATGTTTATTTTTAATAATATTGGACACTAATTCTCAAGTAATCTGTAATCTAATCATTTACACAAAAATTAAAAGAAATTAAAGGTTAGGTAGAGTGAGGAGCTTGGACAGTATAGGTGAGCGTTTAACGCGCGTTAGATAGGGGCCCCTTAAACCTACACCTGGGTCGCAAGTCCCAGGAACTGTTGAAGCTCCTCTCCCTGCAACGCGATGACAACTTGGCACCCGCACTGTGAATAAATTGAATTCTAAGAAGTTTCGCCTCTTAATAATATCATTATGTTAACAATGTCGAATGTTTACAGGAATGAAAAGATGAGACATTTTGTGGGTTACAGTGGCACAATAACGGGTATTTTAAGTGGTTTGACAGTAGTTACTGATTACAATCCCGACGACGCTGTAGACGGCACCATTATCAACGCTGGAGCTTTAAAAGTGAGTTGTCTTTACATAATGACCATTATAAAATATTCATATAATTTTTAAATATAGATCCAACAAAATTTTCTTGTCTACCTAAGTAAAATCGTATTGTCGTGTAAGTATTTCTTACAATATCAAAAGGAATTTGTTTAAAACTTAAATATTATTTATAGACTAGATTCACAGACTAGTTGTATGTTTTAGAGTATTTAAATTGTTTCTTATTTAAGTCAGATGTGCTAATCACAGCGAAAATCTTTGAATAAAAATTGTGTATAGGTACATATTACTTTTTGTAAACATTTTTATAACAAAGAACTGTTTAAGAGGCAGTTGTAAATTAACTAATTACATTAAAGTAAATTAGGATACTGTATAATCGTATGTGCTTCATCTTACTTGTTACACAGAAAGAGTTTGAGTAACTTTTAACATGGGAAAAAAAAGTAAGTCTCTTTAAGAAGAATACATGACGCTTCCCTAACGTATACGTAATCTGATTGATGATCGATTACTATTTAAATTTCAATTTTTACCAGTAACATGTTTAACCGAATCCCATTAAAAAAAAGCAAATATATCAAGCTGGGCTAGGACATGATATTAAAAATAATGTTAAAACTATTTTCTTGAAGGTAATGGTATCGGAAACAACCACATTCCCTGTCGAAGATGAATCAAATCTTATTCACGCAAATGCGGAATCTTTTCACCTCTTAAATCCTATTTACACGTATTGCTCACAGGAAGTTAGTTCACTACCGTCATTGAGGTATCAATTATATTTCCTTTAATTATTATAATAAAAAAGTTTGTGGACTTTCTAGAGGTAAATGAAAAAATAAAAATTATGTACTTGTTCGAGAATAAACACAAAGTGGTATTTGGTATTGTAAATGTATATTGCATATGGCAAATAAGTTATACCTTTTATTGCAATTAATATTCATTTTTCGGAGACCATACAGGTCAGGAATTAACATTTATCACGACTTGAACAATGTCTTGTTTTGCTTTCTTTTGCGTAAAATTCTATTCCTCCGATGTAATTAAAAAACAAAAGAGTTCAGAAGCTTGTAATGGGAAAAATGTGAATGCCTAAGTGAAGAAATGTCCTGATCATGGCCTATAGTGTATGTATATGGTAATATAGTCAAACGGTTATAATATTTAAGTAATTCCCAATACACATATTATATAACAATTACTATACAATTTAACGATATTTTTGAAAATAAATTCTATATATTAAGCTCAAATAAATCGCTTTATTTTTTTTATAGTCGTAATTGCTACTTCCCGGATGAGAAATGGCTGTCTCATTTCCAACACTACCGGCGCTCAGACTGCGAGGTGTTGTGTGCTGCTAAAGATATTGAACGCTCGTGCAACTGTTTCCCGCCGTATTTACCTCACGCTAGGAACATTTGTAATATAACGAGCATCGCTTGTATTGTCAATTCTAAAGGTAAAGTATTTTAGAACCTACTTATATACAGAAGATAAGTCCTATTATGATTAACAAGTTTAAATTTAATTGTAGACCAAAAGATTGATTGATTTTTAGTAGAAAGTATGATTGTGTTTTTGGTTTTTGAATATAAAAGTTATATTCATAAAGAAAGGTTTTTTATATTTGTTAATAAGTGTATGTATGATAAAGTTTGAAAATGAAATAATTTACATTAAATATTTATTTTTAATCTTAAAATCATTTCTGGCTTCAAAATATCGTTTGATTTATTCAATAATTGCAGTTATAGAGAACTCTATGGTCCATGATTCCTGTAACTGTCAGCGAGACTGCGAATCTTTTCGTTACAGAATTGAAACGAGCGTCGGTAATCTGGATGGACTCAAACATTTGATGTTTAACCCATAGTACGTTATAATTTATATTGAAATTAATTTATATTATAAATTCAAATATTAGCTTTTATGTAAATTTTTTCTTCATGGTTCCATCAATAAAGTTTTCACGATAAAAAATTTAATTAGTAATAACATTTGTCTCGATCACTTTCTGTCTCCAACCACATTGCCTAAACTCTAGACGTAATAAAAATAAATAAAAGAATGTTTATACCGGCGTATAAGAAAATAAATGAAATCATTTTTTTATATAGTAGGTACTTACCTAAGTAATTAATAATATTATAAGTTATTAATAACATATGAATATGAACAATCACTAATCAGTTTTTCTTTGCTCTACTATAATACGTCATTAGAGGTACGATCGATAAATTAAAAATATAATAATTTCCTCAGTTCGGAGGTGAAGTTTACAAAGAGTACATCAATACTTCACTTCTTTTTCACGAAACCTGTGTATGTGAAGCAGAAACAAGAGACTGTGATGTCACTTATTACTTAGTCATGTAAGTACATACATAGACCAAAGTATAAGAAAACTTAAAATTTTCATACTCTTTATAAAGGTCTCAATTTATTGAATTTGTCAAACCCGAATGTCAGGAATAGGTAAAACTTGTTCATTTACCTAATATGAAAAATGAATAAAAAATTCTTAACCCTTTTTTAACAGCATAATAATATATATTTTTGTTTGTAGCAAACCTCGGCGGTGTTTTCGGATTGTGTCTCGGATGTAGCGCCATCAGTGTTATGGAAATCATTTTCTACACGTACGCGTACATAAGAAACAAAATAGTCAACATTAAAAGAAAATATAAAAAGAAACTCACATATTTTTTACATTAATTGAAAATATTGAGAGCGGGAAATATTCTTTTTGTTTTAAATATGGCCTTCAGGCGTTGAAAGACATGAACAGTATAATATTCTGCCAGTGTGGTGTAGAATGAAAGAGTTGAAAATTTTATTCACCAACATCTATCTCAATATTTCAAATATTATATGAACGTCTCAGTTTATGTCAGATTGGGAAATATTCTTATAACATGAATTAATTACACGAATTTCAATAAGGCTTAATCAATATTCATAGTGCACTTTAAATCTGAATATATTTCAATCTGGTAACACGCAGCGGGACTTATACAATGGGTATTATGCAACGCTATGAACTAATATTGAAAGCTTTTATTGTAATAAAGTTTTATCCCATATTACTCTTTAAATAAATGCGGTTTACATATTATAGATATTATGTTCCTTATGTCCATGAACCATTACAATTTTTGTTTACTTTTTGTGAAAAATTATTTTGTATAAAAAATGCCTTTATTAGTATGCTTCTACCATAAGGTATAAATAACAAATATATAATTTTTTTTTCTCTGTATAATCACATGTTTATTTGAAGCAATTATAAGTATTTTATTAAACAATCTTTTATTTGACTAACAGTTCTGTTATTATCAATATATTTATTAGAATGAAGTAATTAATTGATGAAAATCAAAAATAAATAAGTCTTTCAGTATGTAATTAATTAGTAATATGTCTGATAAAAAACTGAACTTTTGATTGTAATTCTTGGTAAATCATAACTGAAACTGAGTGTGGGGGATAGTTAAAATAAAAAAAAACACTATATAGGGTGTCCGTAAACAAGTTTATATATATTCTGTTTTATATATATTATATATGTATATTTTTCTACATACGACGGTAAAAAACAATGACTTTATCAAATATATTGCTCAGATATTCTTTTTTTATGAAAAAATACAAAAGTATTCTACAAAAATTTATGAAAATATGTCCTAGAAAAAATTACATCTCTTCTATATCTAAATGTTCATATTATGCTTAAGATTTGTTACAAATAAAGATACAAATAAAAGTTCGTTTGTAGCTGAGAACAGTATCAATTTATATGAAATATAATTATTTTAAATAAATACACCGCTTCAACGGCTTCTAACCAATAATACTTTCCCGGGAACAGTTCGAACTAAACTAAAGACATAAATCAATATTTGGCTTAGATTTTAATTAAAACTACAATAAAGCATATAAAGTCATAATTTGGTCTAAGTTATGCGTATTACAGTTAAAATGTTAAGTGCCCTTAGCCTAATTATTGCCTTACTTCTGTTACAGTCGCCTACAACAGTACAATAGAACCCATGTCCCACACGGTAATGGTACGAAATGGTACAAAATACAAAAAGCTAGTCACTAGAATAATCCGCACCGAGCCGTCTCCGGGGACACGAGTATAAATACAATATAAAAAATGGTAGTTCCCACCAGAAACTATCATTGGACGTATCACAAAAGAATTCTTAACAATAATTTTAAACTACCAATACCTTATCCAATGGAACGGTATGAAATTACACAGACATTGAGCTAAACTTACAATTCAATATATTATTAAATCATTAAGTAATATTGCTGTTAGTCTAACGTTATATATATATTTGTTTACTGTATCGAGTAGACAGCGATGGCACTAGGTTTATTATGACAAGAATGATCTCCCTACGAAGTGCCGGGTTCACTACTATACAACTACACTAGCCTCGCTAGATATTTAAGCACAACTCGTCATGAATCCCTGAAACTATTCAAATAAAACTCTGTTTTATTTTCACATCACAATTATTATTTACGCTGAAATACATTCTATTTATTTATTTATTAAAAATATATTCACCTCCATAACATTAGAACAGCTCATCAATTGACTCACGTAGGCGATAACCATATAAAAGTACTAATTCTATAAAGTATATAAATACAAAGCACGTAGTGAGCAAGTTCGTTACGAGGGCCCTGTACATAGAGGAAACATGAAACGGGGACTAAGAGAAAGACAGAGACGGAGAGAGAAAGAGAGAGAGGGAAGATGTTGAGGAAAATAGGTAAGAATAAATAGTGTTTAGATACGAACTAAGTTCAGAATGCCGGCCACGTCTCACGTGGGGGGGAGGCGGAGGCCCCTATTACTATGCCTAATTTATTGCGATAAATGGTTTAATAGAGAACGGATTCCCTAAAGAGTCCCCGGCGCCGGCGAGGTCGGTCCGAGGCGGCCGCCCTGGAGGTCGCTCTCGAGGTCGAAGAGGTCGAGAGGTTCGAAGAGGCCGGCCGGGAGGTAGTCTCAGAGGCTGACGAGGCTGTTCTGTGCGTCTGGCGAGGCGAGGTCGGGGGCGGCGCGCTGCTGCTGGCCGCACGGGTGAGGGTGCGCGTGTGGGTGAGGGTGCGCGAACGGGTGAGGGTGCACGGGTGTCAGCCCCGTCCCGCCTTCCATCAGGCTGTCGAAGTTGAATGGAATACCGTTGCTTGGAGTGCTGATCTCGATGCCGGGGATTTTGTTGTTGTTGCTCAATTTGTTGTTGTGGATCTGAAAATATATGTGTAGATTTATAAATAAAGTAACTCGTTTTTAATAAATTAACTTGTATTAAGAAAGACCACGAAAAATGTATATTTTTTTAACTTTTGTAATGGTCTTCCAATATCTTGACATTTGTAAAAAGGTTTTCTTAGAAAACAATTTTTAAACTTGTTATCTTTGTTACATCTTAATATTTAGTTAGGGTTCTGTATATATATTGTAGTATTACCTGTGCGGGTGTGAGTGTGTGGGGTACTTGTAGGAAGCTGGGTCTGGAGGGCCGGACGGGGGGTGTGTCCAGCGAGGTGCCCGTCAACACGGCTGGATTGGCCGCCGACAGCATTATCCTATAAAGAAAAATAACAAGAATAAGAATAAAGGTTCGAAATATAAAAACAACAATAACAAGTTCGTGTTTTGCGGTTAAAGAGTATACAATGAATGTTACGAGATTTCCTTCCCCTCAATCTCAGTGGAGCCCTCTACGTAATTCAAATAAATTATATTTTTTAATGAACAATAATTTTTAAAGTGTTATGTCATGGTGTTCGTGATAGTAGGGTATGTTCTATTGGATGTAGTTCTGTATCCCACCTTTTGTCCGGCGTCGGCGAGGTGAATATTTCATTGTCCAACCCCAGTACGGGGTCCACTGAAGGGTCCATCACTTCCTCCTTCACCCTGACCCCCTGGCCGGTCATCTCCTGGTAGTCGTACGAGTCCTGGAACGGCTTCACATCAGGCGGGCTGGTAGATCGTTTGTTCAGTCTGCACCCGCTGTGCATGTGATTCTGTAGTAGAGCCTGCAGCGAATCCCTGTCCGAGCTCAGCTTGCGGATCTCTTCCTGTAACGCTTGCTTCTTTTCTTCCAGCTTATCTGTTTCCTCTTGCAATTCGTTTGTGTGGTCCAATCTTCGTTTGCGACAGCGCGCTGCTGCCATTTTGTTTCTCTCGCGGCGTATCTTCCTGCGTTCCTCCTCTTCTGGTGAGATGTCTTGGGGAGCTTTGGTAGGTCTTCTGCCGCCCATGTTCCTCCTCTTTGGAGCTGGTAGACCGGGACTGCTGCTGCTGTCGCCGCTCGCTGATAATGGGCCCGGCGACACATGCAGTGTCGTCGGGCCCGAGTCACAGTACGCCGCCGAATTCAGGATGCCTGGAATCATAGGAATTCATAAATAACAAGCTATAGGAATATTAATTAATTATTTTTAGTATTAAGGTTTGTGTATAAGACGTACCGTAATTGTTGGCCTGCGTGACGGAAGGCGGTACGAAGCCCGCGTGGTTCGCCTGTTCGCTGCGGCAGTTGCTCAACTCGATGTAAGTCTGTTCGAAGTTGCGCAACTGTGTGGGGGTTATGGTCGCCGTGGTGCGGGTTGGGACCCCCGACTGGAGGCCCTCTAGGTTAGCCAACTGGAAGAGAAAAATATTTATGAGTTATAATGAATTTTTTCCCAATTAGTTTTTCAAGACTCGTTGTATTTAAGGACCAATTACAACTGTTCCATATATTGATATAATTATGCAACGCTTGTTTACATATTATTATAGAACCGCTTCCACATTCCAATCAGTTTTTATCAACAAAACATTTACTCTGAGCAAACACAACAATAACAATAAATGATAAAACATATTAAATGACAACAAACAAGAATGTATCCAATTTAACAAAATATAACAAACATAACTATTTCAATAAGTACATGTACATATATCATATTAATGATATTATGCAACGTAACTCTCGTTGTAAACAAAACCCAAAAGCGAAACCATAAATCTATCAACTATCCCAGTTTAATAGCTAAAATATAAACACAGCTCGTCATTTAACTATGGAACAATATATTTATAGGTGATAAACATGGAATGGAAGTGATGGCATTAAAACAATATTATATGAATGCGTTCAACATATTTAAACTCCATCATAATAATTTATATATAACATTTTTTCTTCCCGCCGAGATAGATGGACTTGGTTGATTTTATGACTGCTTTTAAAATTTGACGTGAAATTTCTTACAATGTGTTTCCTAAGGTAACAAGAATGTTAAGCAAAGGAGAATAATCAGTACATATATAGGAAATAAAACTAAAAGTATAGAACTAGTTTCACGTAAACTTTATAAATGTCCATTACACAAATGTGTCACGTCCTTAATAAATTAAGATTATGAGTTGTGCTGATTGGTTGAAGTAATATGTCGTAGGTAAGACTCTCTGATTCATTGCATCCTACTCTTAAATAGATATCGTCTGTACATTTCGTGTGCCAGACAGCATGGTTTTGGCAGCACTATTGTTTAGATACACTTTTAAATAATTTTGCAAATCCTCACTGATCACGGTTATTATACTAAGTTGGTTGTCGTCTTGCTACCTGTTGGCACCACAGCTCGGTGGCCAGCATGTTGGCGAACTCTAGGGGATCGATGTTCTGCATCTCAGCGGTAACACAACCACACAACGTTTAAAATTAGATACTATTGTGTTGCGCTTTTTGCGAAGCGACACCTTTGTGCGGTCGAGTTTGTTAGTCGATATGTTCGTTAAATCCGCCCTCGCAATATATATATGAGGATATTTTCAATATGATCCGGATAAAGTGTACACTGGCGTGTTAGTGGTGGTGTAGTTAGTTAGGGGCTGGTAATATTTCTATATGAGATATAATCTTTTTGTTTGGGTCGTGTGCGCGGGAGTGCGGGTCGTTCGTTCGTCTCGCGCGCGTACGTACGGCGTCCAGCCGCGGCGGTTCGCGCGCTACTGCTACCACCGAGCCGCGCCCCGCACGCCCTCGCTCGCCCGAAATCGCCCACGGGCGACGTCGAAATCACGTATTTATAGAACAAACCGCTAACTCCGGAAATATTTCGCATCATTTCGCATAACACGCGGCTGTACGATAGTTAGCAGAGGTACGACAAGAGGGTACAGCTCGAATCGGGCGCCGCTTGTTAGATGTAGCCGGTTTGAGAATTTTTGATTATGGCGTACTATGGTAGTGATCGGAAGGTTTCATGACTTATGTGGCAATATAAAAACGTATGAGTAGGCGGGAGGCTGGCCGGGACCTTGCCGCAAGGCCGCGCCAGACGATCGTGGGATGAACGTTTCACCGAATACGGCCTTATTTGGTTGTCCTCTGTTGATTTTTAGTTAGTTCTTTTTAGTTATCCGCTGTGTATAGCTTCAGACGACCTCATAAGTCGCTTGATCTATATTGGCTGCCCTGTAATTGATAATTGCATCAATCTCATGTAAAGACGCGTTGAGGCTGCACAAAGCGGGCGCTCTGCGGAAGACGCACTCAGCTCAATTACCGCAATTGCCTAAATGAAATACGCCTCGTGTGGCAGACCAGAGAACAACAGCCACGCTAATTGGTCACGGTAATTACCTATCAACAAATGAAATAATCTCACATTCCGCACTCATTATCTCCTAAGATTGGTTAATTGGAAATTAGCCAGAAATTCACTTTTTATTAAAAAATATTCTTATTTACAATTATATCGGTATTAGAATCATACATTAGGAATATTAAAGTCAAATCTCATACTCATATTTTAACAATATAATTGCAATCATTTATGCAAACTTCCAAATCCTTTCTTTAGTACTTTATTTTTCCTTGTGACATTTTCAGCAACATTGTAAAGAAAATGACCTTAAGTTGAGATAAAACTGAACATAATTAATGATAATCCACTAATCAACTGTTTTAAATCAAGTACCTAATAATGGTAAGTCTTTGAAAAACTATTTTTTTTTAACTTAAATTGAGGTTCGTATAATTTGGTATAGAAGAAAGTTTCGTAAGTAATATATCTAACATTTGGTATCATTAGTACAACATTTAAATTTCCTTCAAATAATTTTCACGTTAACATTGAAGAAGCGTTGTTATCTTGATACTATGAGATCACCACTATATCTAAGTGTCACGTGGCTGGTGACGTTCAATGTTTTCAAACGGTATTACCGCGAATATATATTTCATAATTCTAATGAACTCAATATTAATAATATAAAATCTTTATATATAACATTGAACGCGTAGCATAGCATGTATAGTCACAATCTGTGCAGTCGAGTGCCGTGTATATAACACAAGTAGGTATATACCTATAGATAATGCATAACCCGTTATCCGCACGTGTTCTCGCCCACATTAGCCAGACTTATCTAATAATTCAATGCTCTATATATGTACATTTGTCAATCTGTTTGTATGTGTTTATTTTAACATTTTCCTGGTTGGATGTCATAAGTCTAGAAAAAAATATACGTCTTAATAACAATGTTTTATTATCTAGATACAAGGTTTTTGCCTTCGTGGAAGTCAGAATTAGGTTCAGAGAGAAATATATACTAAGGGCGACATCTATCGACAGCGGAACGTAACTTCTGAAATTACAATACAACTGTTGTCTTGATCTTTAGTGCCTACACGGAAAGCAAGAAAAGATTTAAGTATATGTTATATTCCGATATCTAAGCTACATTACTGTAAAATTTCATCCAAATCAATATTATAGTTTTTACGTAAAAGATCAAACAAGCTCTTATAACTCAGTCATATATAATATAAATATATTTCTACGATATTATAATTATTTAATGAACAGCATGTATAGAGATCGCATTATCAATTATTTATATCGCGTCAAGTGCTAATTATAGCACCCTTCATGCAAACGCTGCGCCTTTAAAAATAAACATAGAATCGCGAGCGTTTCACTTGCCGAGGTCAAAAGCCTTTATCGAATCTCTAAAAGTTTTAATTCCTTGTATAAGGAACATTCGTATATAATATTCATATAATAAATTCGATTTAAAATAATTAGTAAGAATATATAAACTATTAATTTATATGTATAAACTAATTTCTTTAATATTTTTTTTCATTACGAAAGACTAAAACATAGTGAACATAAAAATAAATTAATATATATATCTTTGTATTAACTTAATACAATTTGATTAATTTCATAGTATGTATGTATATATAAAATATAGATATTTCAAAACCGTCATATATTCATAAATCGTGCTTCATAAAAAATAATTTACTGAATGCGATTTAAGCTTACAAAGTGTTTTTTGTAGCGAAATTAAAATACCTATTTGTTTAAAATTGTCTCACACCACGTGACGTTTTAGTTTAACGACAATGCCAGACTTTACATGAGTTTGATATTATTTTTTTATGTTACTTTAAGTTTAAACATTAAAGTCTTCCGTTAAACAACACCGAGGCTAAATGTTAATGGCATTATATCCTCAAACAGTAATATAGGTATTGAGATGGTCATGTTAAATGCCGAGCCGAGATAAGTGACTATAAAAGATAATTTAAAATATAAAAGATAAGATTCGAGACGCGACAATATTATCTAAATTGAAAAGATATTTATTTGTTTCGTTATATTATTAAGAGATATCGAATATAAGAGAGTTGGATTTGTTTTAGTTTACAACATGTAAAGCAAAATAAATAAAGAAGGTGGCGGAAGAACATATCACTTATGGGAGATTTCTTCAAGATTACCTTTTTGGTAAAGATGTATTGAAGATGAGAGTGGATTAGAGTGGATTAGAGTGCATAAATTTTACTCATATTTACGAACAATAATATATATAATTTTGTATTTGTAGATCTTATAACATTAAACTTACGTTAATTTTGATACCGACATTGTACATTTATTTCTAGAACTGTGTGTTTAGTAACCAGTATGTATGGGGGCTCGTTAACGTGATGCTAATTGCTCCCTCTAAAAACACACAAGAGTTGTCGACTCAAAGAATACTTCAACGAAAATTTTATTTACATACAAATACGTTATAATTAATATACAGATATACATTATAAGAAAAAATATGTTTATCTTCAAATATTTCTAAAAATATAAACGTGTGTGAACGAAAACGATCACTATGCACCAGAGCAACTGTTGCATATATTAGCATGCATCATTAAAATGTACGGTGTAATGTGTATATGCACATGCACATATGCATGTCTTGTACGGCGCCGTCCGTCTCGACATTGACCGCCACTAAGCGCATGATAAAACAAAACGTATGCTGGCATGAAGCCAACATCCCTTCTACAACACTACAGCAATGGAAAGTGCATCAGGTCGATATAAAGCACCACTTACCCCAAAATTCTAAAACTCATATATAACCCAATATTGAAGAGTTTAAAAAATAGCTTTAAATTTTCATTGCATACTCTTAAAGTTCGCATGAAAATCGATTTTATATATGAAAAATACCAATTGATAATTCATCAATATTCAATAACAGTGTCGCTACGGTTATTACATTTCAATACATTTTATAATATAATCGTGTTCATACGAATCGATTTCGTATTTTCACGAAAATTACGGCGAGTCGAGTTCTCGGAAAACCCGCGTGAGTCATAGTAACACTCTCTATCGAGTCGCAGCCGACCTGTGTATTACATTGAATGATTCATTCCGACTACGAGTGATTCAGAATGCGACAAGTTTCACTTATTAATATTTTTTTCGATAAACAACTTCTAGGTGATTATAAAATATTAAATCTAGGTCAAGATGAAATTGATTTTTAAACTAAAGATGAAAGATTTAAATTAAATTAATAAAAAAAACGATTATAAATTACGATAAACATCCAAGTGACATTCACGACGGAATCAAGTGAGTGATAAAATATCATACTTAAACAATAAGCTGAGATAAAAAAAAAGTGTTATCAAAATCCGCGGTATACGACCGCTCGGCCGGAAATCGTCCGGAAATGGCGGGCATTCCGCACGGCGCCCGCCAACCGCAGACTTACCGAAAAAAAACTATTATTTTCTATATTTATATACTATAAACCCTTTTTATGTATGACAAAAACATGTTATGATTACGAACTGAAAATTTATAAGATTTATATTTGACATTTAGATTACATTTATGAATCCTGTTTTCTTTGTATATAATGTGAAAATTCATGTAATAACGGTTTTAAAGGTTACTTTTACTGAGAATTGAGTGATTTTGTTACGAATAACATTATTTATTTAAGATTCGCAAAAAACAATATCCTGCTATTCTCTGATACTTCAAAAATACGTACTGTGTCCCGTAAGTAATATATTGAATAAAATCGTTCAATTGGCACCAAATATACCAATAAATAATTTCGATAGCTCGTCTCTCTGTAATTCGGCAAACTTTATAAAATATATGAACATAAATAAACAATGATTTGTTCTTCCAATTAATAATTAATAAACAAATAAGGGTGTAACAGGTTATCTGTTTCTGGGAAGTACCTACTTAAAATCGGTATTTATTTTCCACAGTCGATAAGAGTCGACGTTTAACAGCTGCGCGGCTGAACAAAGGGTATAGTCCTAACGCTTTAAACGGCCATGCAAATTATATTGTAAAGCTGATAGCGTGTGTCCTTCCTAACATGGCGCGATTACACGCGGCCAACATACTATGTGCATTATCACTACTGACTTAAATATAAATCGTGTCGCAATTCTGGGAGCTCGGTTGCTGAGATTAACACGTTGTGATCGAATCGTTTTTATTGTTCGGAATATTATTTAGAATAACACTAACTGTAATTCTACTCAAATATTCGTATTCTTTTATATGTAACATTTCGCTAACAATTTTTATCCATCCGTAATGATCTCTCCACGGTACAACGACTTCATTCTCGACCCACGCACGTGTTAGTTGGTTGTTTTATTTAATTTTTAATTGCCCTGCCCACATATGCTGCGGGTGGTAGCAAATATCATAATTTACGTATTTAGTTACCAGTTCGTGAAAAGCAAACGAATGTTATTGAATAATTTTTTAAGAGTTTATTTTTATTATTGTGTAATATGTGAAACCTTTTGTTTATTTTACGGCAAGTAATTGAAACGAATGTAAACAAAAAAAAGACGAATATTTAAATTTCCTTAACAAAAATAACATACAAATCTTTGGGTTCACTAAAGCGTTATAATTATAAAGCCAACGCCGAAGGGTAAACACCAAAAAAAGTCATGTCCAATTTCACGTAGCATCATACTGTAATCAATCTTTATCGCGCTCCGTAATAAAGACGCGAATTTTCGAACATTAAACGTAAACCACTCGAAAGTTTAACGACAGGAGCTCGCTGCCGGAATCTCAATACTTATAACATAATAATAATATGTATTATAAAAACCTGAACACAAAACAGTTAGAGGCGACGAGCAAACGCATTAACAGACAAAGCCATTGTCTGAATGCCACTGTGTTTGGCCGCACTTATGCTAATTTCTTTTGAAGAGCGCACAGTCTTCCTTTGCGGGATAACAAATACTTCGTTGCTAATAAAGTGGACATATATTTCAAAAACACCATACAAAGGTCAACGGCTCGTACGAATGTCACCGACGACCTTATTCATGGTTTAGTAGACGTGAAAATAATACAAATATATAAGGAAACAAATTTAATGTAGCAAGGTTCTGACGCTTTGTTACAAAATAACATGTTTCGTACAAATTATTTGAGGAAAACGTCGGGACAGTTACATATACTGTAAAAATTATGTGAGGAAAATAAACACGAGACGAGGAAACGTTTTACATTTCGATAATGACCGTATTTTTTTACCGAGGTGCTCTTAAACTACGGTCGGCTAATGACAAGTTGGAGGTTTAAAAGCATTAAAGTTAACCTGTGGAATGTTTGTGATGCGAGGAAGGCGTATTAGTTTATCTTTGCACCGAGATGCCGTCAGCGACCCTGGCACGAAGAACTGTCTGAGATAATTCTATGTCCATAGCGTTTACGTCACCACTTTAAATTAGGTTTCGATCATGGACAATGTTTGTAAGTGTAAGATAAGTTTTCTTCTATAGTAGAAACTATACAAGGCGGCCTAGTTGTAAAGAATAGTTGAATATTTTGTATGAAATTTTTTAATTGAATAAACAAGATAAGGAATCATGTGATTATTTTCAATTATTATACTATAGAACAAAAAGTCAGGTATGCGTATTATATTATATAAACAATGTTTAAATGTGGAAATTGAGTATAATAGGGATAAATAAGCAGGACATGAATTTCCTTATCACAGCAGATAGCCATAGCGGAATGTCTGCAAACCACAGGCTTATCGGCCCTTCTACGAAATCATCCACAAACACTTATATTTATCGCTTAATATTTCACAATTATACTAAAAGAAATAGCTTTACACCTACCGAGGTGCGGTCAAATTAAATAAATATCTAAAATAACTCTATAATTAAAGGAAAATGTTTACTTGATTACGGTAAATTTTTATGGTCACCAATGTACTGATTTACCTTGCTTATAAGATTCCTTACTTAAGCGTTAAAAGACAACTAAGTTGGCATGGAGCCCAGGAGACCAAGGATATTCGATTCTCAGCTACGTATTCGTCAACATCATTAAACTTACAAGTTTAATAATCTCTCATACACGAAATATGAACCCGTATGAACCCTATATTAGCATTTTATATGACAGCCTATAAATTTTTTAAAAAATATCCCTTTAAGGCGTCAAGGCATTAACAATACAAACTTAACGATTGCCTCGTCGCGTCGTGCTGACAATACGCCCCTATACTGATATATTTGTTATAAAATTCTTAACAAACCAACGTTTATGAATACAAAACATCATTAATTATAATAACTATAACAAACATTAAACATGGCATTAAATCTAGCGTTAGTACGATTATTAAATTTTAATTGATCTACCTATGCTACCAGTTGAACCTAAATATGTACAATGACGGAGAAAGGTAACATCATTATGGCCAATACGAAATTAGAACATGGTTTTAGTATTGATCGAAATCTATGTACCCAGAGATAAGACTAGAAGGGTTAGTACATAGCTCTTGTACAACTGTAGTACAATTTACAACACGGAATTAAATACAGTCCAAGTCGTTATCATGTACACAAGTTGTTGAAGGCTCTTGTTTATACAACGGAACCGATCTCTATATATCTTATCTTGTTAGTTATCCATCATTACAGGAAGACTTCATTATGTTAATTTTTATTTTAAATACATTTACTACAGTTTTTCGGACGAAAATAATATAATCGATATAGATTTCCAATTAATTCGCTCAAAATAAAACTTAAAAAAATAATCAATTTGATTTTAAATGCGTATCTGATGACCTTTGAAATGATAAATGTTTTTAGATACTTTTTTAATCGTCAAGAATTTAAACAAAGACTTAGGCAACGTACTCATATAGGAAGAAGAGATATATAATAGTTATATCAGTGTTGATCCATCTGTACGCGTGTCCCTGTGTGTTCAGAGGGTGTTACAATTAGAGGATCACGGGCCTCAGTCCTCTGTCCTCTGTCCGTGTAATGCTTGACGTCGGCTGAGGGTTCGTTCAACCAACTGCGATCGATGACACGGACGGCGCGGGCAGCGCGGGCGGCGCGGGCGCAGCGTCGCGGCGACACGAGAGAACGACCCGACCAACAACACTTAGACCCTGACTATATAATGCATCCCCAAACACACACACACACACACACACACACACACACACACACGACACGATAACACCCTCACACACATGCGATCCCGTATCGAATGATTGATACTAGAAATGTAAAAAAATCATATGATGCAATGCGATGCAATAAGGAAAATTGTTTACAAGGTGTTTTCAGTATAACCTAATATTAAAAATTAAAACATAACACTGGCGACATATGTATAGGTGTGTGTAAGGAACAAAACTCACCGAATTCCCTCCAACAATAAAGTGCAATCCGAGTGAAACGTAACACAAAAAAACAGCACAAATAATATCCGAACTTGTCTAAACACGCTGCGACCTGACGAGACACGCGTGCGCGCAACCAAAACAATCGCTAAACAGATGTCAACCGGCGTCGGAAAACCCCCGAGGACGCACGGAGCACTACGTCAATATTATCGTTCGCCTGGACAAAGGTTTTTGTTATCTGAAACCGGTGGCGGTGAGTACGGAGTACGGACACGAGCGCGCGGTCAGCGGTGCGGCGTGGAGTGAGCTGCGAGGCTCGCGCGCCGGCCCCGCTGCCGTCTGATAAGCCTGGCGCGACGCCCCCCGGCGACGCCTACGCCCCACTCGGCGCCGGTGCATCGTCAACACCACCGGCCGCCCCTCGGAGCCGCCGACCAGACGGGCCCCCGCACCTACGCATCGTTTCACAACTGCACGTCTCGCCCTGCGACACTACCGACGACTTTCGACTCCTTAAAGAGACGAGGAAACCACGCTTGCGAAACTCCGCCCGCGGCCCAGATACGGTGGAGAACAATGAGCCGCGAACAGAGCTACTACCTTTTTAGTGTCTTCCTAATTGGTCTGAAGTACACACGGACATAAATACAATGTGCAACGCGATCCGTTCACTGCATAATAGGAATAATTAAATTAGAACAGGCCTGTTGAAAGACGGCCCGATAATATTTACAACCTCTGGAGGAAGTGGCGATATTATAAAAATTGATAGCAGGAAGGGCATAGTAATTGATTGTTGAAATGGAAATTATCACATGACAATTATAACACGATACCTGACGTTGGCTGTAATTTAATTAACTTTTAAAAGAAACATTTATATCAAAATATTTTTTTTTGTTCAAGTGTACGTGAACTCAAACATCCTCAAGAATATTAAAACACAACTGAGGTCAGTATAATACTTTTGTACCTAAATCTTTGTCTAATAAAAAAAATGTGAAAATTTCATGATTTCCCATAAATTTACATTGCCAAAAAGGTCCTTATTATTTTCATTATCTTTACATAAATATAACTCAACGTCTGTTTTATAAACAAGCTTCGTAATCCAAGACATTTATGTTTGTAATAAATTATAATAACAAATATATTTCAAATTAAAATTGAATTGGCTTCCAATAAAATAAACGTAAGTCAGAACAAACCGAGATAAAGATCAATAAATGACCATGTAGCAAATCGCAGTTAAAATTATAACGTCTGAATGGCAATTACAGATAGAATGAAACGCGAATATCCGAACAAAAACGGATATCAGTTTACGAATTATTTAAGGTTTCATACGGACTGGTTAAAATTGATATGACCTTCACAGCAACGCGTCCAACTCAAAAGAAATCAAACAAAAAATGCATTTGCAAAAACCGAATCGACTTTGTTACATTAACACGAAAAGATTTCTATAAAACTAAATGAGAGTCAATAACTTCGACGATCAGTTCTGGTAAAATTTCAAAGGATATAAAGTCTAAACATTAATTATTAGAGAGAATTACCCTACACTCAATGTGTTACATCCTTCGCAGTGACTTGAAATTATTAAAGCACGATTTGTGGATAAACACTGCCTCGCAATGTACAATGACGCGATCGAGAACTATAATACGACATATAACCCAGGTAATAACATATATTGGTGCAGTATAAAAACTCATAATACTTTTGTGATCTCAATACCAATGTCATTCAGTTCGTCCGTTCTCCATCAACCGAGAAATCTGGCGAGACGCATTAGGCCCACATAAATTACGAGATTAATCTTTTCAAATAATTTGACCTTTTCATCTGACGAGGGTTCATTAAATAATGGCTTCGGTATTGGAAGTGCGCGTATTGTGACGAGTATCACATATTTTTTGTTAGCGAGGAGTAAACTTTATTCAATAAGATTTACAAAAGAATCTGACTGAAGGCTTACTTTTAAATTGACTCCTTTTCCTTTTTTTTCTCTCTTTTAATTTCAATTTATATTATATTTTAATTCCAATTAAATTTCAAATTTTAAAATTAACAATGCTATTTGTTAGACATTATATAAATGAAATAGGTACATATGTCGTAAACATTTAAAGTATCTACCTAGCATATTATTACATCCTCAATCAAAACAACATAAGGACATTAAATAAAATAAATAAAATTTAATTCACACAAGGTTCTCACAACTTTATTACGCCAAGTGCCATAAAGCACCATTTTTAATTAACAGCTAAGAATGTCAAGCATCAGTTCCTAGTGGTCGTATGTAGATACCTAACAGCAAAACTTCGCTCCGCAGTAAATACGTTTATATATTATGATATAAATGTGCAGATTAGGTCTTTATAGGAATTATAAAACGCACGTGCGCTCGCAGCAACTATGACATCCTTTAATAAGGCAGTCGAGGCGGAAACGTAGAAAATGTCAGTAATCTGCGGAGCCCGAGACACGAATCATGACCATAATCGGAACAAGGACTCAGCAGCTGCTAATATCAGTACAGAGTTTATTGTGACGTAATACTTAGGAAACAAAGACGCTAGAACTAGCAAGGCGTTATATGAAAATAATAAAAATTTGTTCAGTAAGGTCGTTGGTAATACTAAAGTAGTAAATAGCAGCGGGGCATGCATTGTCTGAAGAATTCCTTCCATACCGAGTGAATGAGTCATGAGTCCAGTTCGTCAACTTTACACAACCCATAACGGTCCGTCGAAAATGAGACGCGATTGTTACAATTTTTAGTGTCACCTTAAAATATTTATAGGTAATAAACTTAAATGTTAACAATGAAATGTTAAAAGGATATTAATGAGAAAATTGAAAATATTACAAATTGATAACATAAAAATTCGTCAAGTATTTATTGAATGATATTTTTTTATTAATTTTAATTTAAATTGTCATTCTGGTTGCGTTTGTTAACCGTTGGGTAGCGACCGTGACTGAAATGCATTAACCGGGAACATCAATCAAAGACAAATTGACCTTCAAGACACAAACTAAACACCATTTCTAATACCGTTCCAAAAAAAATTACAACAATAAAATTCATTAACATATAGTATTTATTACAAAAATTAAGGTCGAGAAGATATCCATTGTGATCAATCCGTTCCACTACGTCACAAAAAAATAGTAAAATGAGAATTCATCATAAATGGAAGCACGAATCGGTCAACTATATGTATAAAACGATCCCAAACAATTTGTCTGTTAAAAAAACACGACTTTAAATATCTTAAGCACGTCATGTCACTATTTGGGTGGTTTGACAGTGATGGTCAGTGACAACAACGGCGACGGTGGCAGGTACGGTCGGCTGTCACACCGTGAGACTAAATCATGGTCATACATAACCAACATTTTTATACACTTAATAACGAGCTATAGGACATATGTACGACATAAACTTGTGAGAAACGCTTTGTGGAATGTATGAAAACATTTGTAAATAAAAGCATTAACAAAATATAATACATAGTTTAAAAAATATTAACGGTTCATAGCAATACAAAAAGCTTTGCAAATTAAACACAACAAACAAATAAGAAAAAAAATCATAAAGCCCGTAATAATTATGTAACAAAAACAAAGAGCCCTCCGAAAGTGCTTTATCTCAAGCCATAGCTTTTTGAATACGTAATCATTGTACATTTCTGAAGGACCTACAAAATGAAAGCAGTGAAATCTGTAAAACAATAGACACTTTAAATAATGGACTAAAAATGGACAGCTTTGGTCGAGTTATCTTCGACGGAGGTAATAAAGAAGTCAATAGTGTTACGACTACTTAAATAACGGGGAACTTTATGACGCTACCACAGCTACCACTTTCGGACCACCATTTGGTTATAAATACCAGAAAACAATGAGTTGTAAAAGTGGCGAAGGGTAGAAGGCTTTCATTGTTGCACAATAAACAGTTAGCAAAAAACCCAAAAAACAATGTATATAGCATAATTTTTAATAATAAAAAAAGCACGAAACTACAAAGTGTCAACGAAATAATGCCTATACAATTAATCAAATAAAACTTTAACGATTTTGCAACACTTCAATTGTAAAATTCTAACAACTTCCGACTTGGCGACATATACTATGACTCAGACTCTATTAGTTCATAAACAAAACAAACTGCTACATATATAAAAACTTTACCAACGATGACACATACGAAAATATCGTGTGACAATAAAACATCAAAATTGTTCAAAACAATTATCACTACAAAAAAATATTAAGTTTTGATGTCACTTAAAGATTTCTGAGGGCTATGTGTAATTTTTTCTATGTACAATTCTAAGTCAACTACAATTAGAACAAATTGTACACATCCGGCCTTTATTGGCTGCGACCATTTAATAGGTGTCGGTCAACCAAACCCATCTGCTCTGTTACAAGCTCAAGTAATTTAATCAGGTTGACATTTAATCACTATGTTCTTATAACACATCCGAAATGGCCGTGAATGAATATATTGGACGATACAAAATTACCAAATTGAGGTAAATTTTTTACCGACATTAATTACAGGTACATTATTTGCTGCGCGTGCGCATAGCGTGTGGGAAATCCCAAGCGGACGTGCGTTCTTGGAAGCAACACGTTGGAGAAATTTCACAAGGTAGATGTAGGTCAAGTCAGCCGGACTTAAAATTTTCGACTCAAAGGTTACAAACACTGACGGCGGCCGGCGGACAAGACTGGCTGCGCTTGCGCAATACGATAGACTCGTTTATCAGATCTTAAAAGATCAGTTGTTTCTAGAACAACCGATGCAATAAATTGGCAATATAATATAATATTACTTAATTTTTACAACAGGCATGCAATCCTTTATTTATTGGCTGGCTGAGAGAGCCTTAATGGGTATAAAACCACAATTGCAAATTTACTTTTTATTGTACTGAAAGGCATTAAATATTATTATAAAAGAAACAACATAACATGTCAAAGGTACTAAAGAAAAACATTAAAATTAGTGAATTACAATTGATCGTTGGAAATACCCAAGGTTTTTCATTCATAACCAGGCTACAATTTTAGTTCAGCTAAACGTGTTTGGAAAGTAAACAAGCCTGCGGTCTGC